TTTTCGCATCTTACGAAATTAACGCTCGGACTACATCTAGACCTGATCGATTCCTTCCCAGCTTCATCTGTCTCTCTGCATTCGTATTCTTTCTTCTTTCATTTCTCTTTCTTTTTCTGTCGACAAAACGCAGAACGGAGGACATTGGATACGTTCTCGTTCCGCAAGTGCGCATGTGTGTGTGTGTGTGTGTGTGATTTGGATTTTACTTTACGGAGCATACGCGTCGTGTTTTTTATTTTGCAATTTTACGGTCAGTTTCGACAATATAATCGCGGATAGAACGAATCACTGTCCGTGTAAAATTTTGAAAGAAAGTATACGACCACAGACACGTACACACACATATACACGATACACACACGATACACATACATATACACACACATATACACGCTTCTACCCGCTTTGTCCGAAACAAAGAGAGAAGCTCGGAAAAGCGCGGCTGAGAGCGACGGACACGTCGTGGCGATTGAAATCCTGAATAACTGAACGTTCATCGACTTGGAGCGACCCAAAGCGGCTTGTGGACAAGCAGACGGGCGGAGGTTATAGAGAGAACATCCGTCCGTTCGTCGCAGGAGAGATGCGCGAAAGGTCGAGTGACCTCCTGAATAATCGGTGCACACCGCCGTTGATGCGACAAGTTGGAGCGAGACAAGTATAGAACAGATCAGATATCCACAACAACAGTCGAACAATAAAAATCAAACTCCGACGCGTGCGACATCAATCGCTCGAGCGGCGCTTTTTCAACGCGGCCGCCTTTCAGTCGTCGCCGCGTTTCCGTCGACCGTCCCGGCCGCGATTCGCCGCCGCTTACATCCCGCCATATCGATTCGATCAACCGCGTTTGTCGCGCGTTAATGCAACAATTAATCAGTGGGCGCGTCCGGTGTCGCGGGCCGCGTGATTCTCGCCGCGCGAGAATTGCGGCGAGCCGCACGGCTAAGTTTAACGCGTACAATTACACCTCATTACAGATTCAATGATACATGATAAATATCTGCTTCTTCCTTCTCCTCTCCCCCTACTTCTTCTTCTTCTTCTTCTTCTTCTTCTTCTTCTGCTTTTTTTTTTATTATATCATTTATGTACAGAGGGCAGCCTGCCTAGTAAGTTTTTTTCAACTCCAGACGACGACATGAAGTGGCAAGCGGGGACGCCGGTGCTCCCTCGATAATTGACGCCAGATCGATGCTCCTGTTCTCCTCCTCCTCCTCCCTCCCTCCCTCTCTCTCTCTCCCCCTCCTCTTGATCGTTGCAACATCGTCGAATTCTCGTGTTTAGCACTGTCGCGACTTTGGCTCCCGTCGATACAGGCCCGATACCAATGTTCGCTAAATAATCGCTTCGCTCGTAAATAATTTGGCGAAGAGCGCCTCCGCAGGATCGATACGGCCGCGAACGATGAGATTGCCGAACGACAATTATTGATACGATACACGAGCGCCGCGACGCCGTCGGCGTCGACGTCGCCCGCTGAAAGCTCGGCTCTCGATATTCTTTCGCTGTTTAACGAAGACGATTGAATGTTCCGCGCCTGTCTGCGTAATCTCGTTCTCTCTTCCTGTGGGAAATCGATCGACGAGCAATCGGATTTGTTACGCGTAGCTGCGAAGAGTTTCCAGAAATTGAAGTTCTTCTCTCTCTCTCTCTCTCTCTCGCGAGAAGTGGCTACTCGCACTATGATGCACACGCGCGTCTCCGCCGTCCGAAAAATATTCTTCTCAGAGACGTGATGACATTTTTGTAACTTTTTTGACGCAATTGGAATTTTGCAACGTCCGACTCGGGAGGGAGTCAACGATGATCAAAGCGCGTTTGTAAATGTCGACGATAATTGCAACGCAATCCGAGTTGTGCATTCGATGACACTCGGTGACGCGTTCCGCGTCGATGTGCTTCGCTCGCGATGAAAAACGCGCGTTTGATTCGAGAACTGTCGGAACTGTCAACGAGCGAAAACAAATTGCGTGCGATCATCATCGTCATTATCGTGGTCACTGTCATCGCTGAGGCTTCGGGTCTAAATTTACAGCGGAGTTCGCTCGTCGACACGCCCGCGAGTCGTCGGTCGCGCATCAATTAAAACAGGTTGCCAAAGGTCAGGAGAGCTTCGGAGAAGCGCGGAAAATTCGAAAACGGTATTTGCACTTCGGGAAATGAACGCAAACGCACCGGAGAGGCGCGTGTGAGTGTTTCGAAGTTGTTGAACGATTTTCCCATCAATTTCTCTTTCCATCCGGACCATTCACTTCACCCACAATATCCGATCCAATAGCTCGTTTGCACACGAGACTCCTCACTCGACTCGCGATTATATTCGTTACTTGCAAATTACGCTGTACAACGTGACGCGACAATTACAGCGAATTGCTCGTACATTTGGACGCGTGTCGCATCGCGATTCTGCATTTAATCCCTTCAGCTCCTCGTCTACGCGCGAAACGGCTCTCTACGAGCGAGAAACTCTCTCCGGAAACTCTCTGTCTGTTTCGGTCTGAGAGTCAGTCAAACGCCGAATGAAATTCCGAATGTGTGTGAGTGTGTGCGTATGTATATAATCGTTCACACTCCGTTTACGTAAATAAATATTCGTCTACGTCCTTTCCTCGGCTATAAGATAATTATAGTGCTTAGAGCCTCGTTATTCGCATTATCCGAGATCGATTATCCGAGACGAGAGGAGCCAAAGGGCTAAATCGATCTACGTGCTACGATTCTCGATCGATCGTTCATCTGGTCTTTTGTCGAGCGATTGATTGACGTTTATTGTCAGGCTTTGTGGACGCATCGGTCGCAGCTGGCGATGTGTGTGTACTCAAGACACGCAGAGAGCCGCTCTCTTTGTCTACATATATTTGTCGAATATATTTCTGCGCGCGTGTACATACAGTGTCAACATCGAGCGAGCAACGTCGTCCCTGCTCTGTAACGATCATCGTCATTAATTATTATCAACCGCAGAACAATGTCGATGCGTAAGAAACGAACGCGCCGAGCATCGAGCGCTATGCACATTTTACGCCTTTCGTCTTTCGTGTAACCTCCTCCTCCTCCTCCTCCTATTCCTCCGAGCAAATTATCTCTTTCTTCCGTTTTTCGTTCTGTCTCCTTCTCTCCGTCGCGAACGAACAGAAATCGAGATCGGCATCATTTCGTTGGATTCGGATTTCGACGCCATAGACACACGAAAATCTCTAGTTACTCTTTCTCTTTGTTTCTTCTTTCTTCTTCCTGTTTTACGTGATACGAGAGAATTCGGTAGAAAAATGAAATTTCAACGCGCACTAATCACGTAGCGCGCTTCGCGTAATAGCGAAAATAAGCTCATTAAGAAAAAAAGATTCTCTCGATAGAATCAGAAGAAAATTGCTAACATTAAATCCTATGTTGAATATAACCACACAAGTAATTGCATCGTTTTTTTTTTTAATCTTTCGAGCAATGTTCTCATCGCGATCAATCATCAGTCGCGATTAACGTCAAGGACTATTGACGTCGTTTCTCGCCTTCTCGCAGATTCCGTCTTTAGACGGAGACTGAAGATCAGCCAAATCTCAATCGATTATTTAATCTCTCATTGAGCGACCGTCCGAAATAAAAGGAATAATCGTATCAACAATTCGTCCAACGGTTTACAACGGTCCGACAACTGTGCGATAAAAGTGAACGAGGATCGGTGTAAAGTGCAGTTTCCCGTGTCTATCGCATGGAAATCCGTGCTTACACCAGAATTACACCGACTCCGTTTCTGGTTCTTATAAGAAAAATGTCACAACTGTCCGACGTCGACTCTTTTCTTTCCTTAAATATGTTAGTACAGAAATTTAAGAGATCTTTATTTTTCCTACATACTCGCACGCAGTTTTAAGGGGCTGAAACGAGCCGCTGTCGAAGCTAATCCGACACATTGGTTTCTAGTTAATAGTTAATATCTACGAGATGTTTTCACGTATCGGTATAATTGTGTTTGTAACTTGTCGCTTGTTCCTCCCCTAATAAGATTTGAATAAATATAATAATGTTCGTGGCACAACTTACGCAAGTTGTAAATTCCACAAATGAACATGTTCCTTTAATCTAATTGCGATCGTCTGTAGATAATTTAATATGGTTGTATTTATCTCGTTATTAATAAATTCGATATCAAATCGTCGCATTTGGGAATGAGATGCGGGGAAGCGAGTAATAATGTTTATTACATGTAAAGCTTTATTTCTCCATTCTTTAGATGTTTATTTTGTGTATGTATGTGTATATATATATATATATATATATATATATATAAATAAAGAAAATAAACGATAAATTAATAAAACAAAAAAGGATAAAATTATATATATATATAAAGGACATCATTTTTGACATTAACTCGGAAGCAAATGTGTCGGATTAGCTTCACCCCTTAAAAGTGCGTATGGGCGTGTATAAAAAAATACAGATTTCTTAAATTTTTTTACTTGAACTACATGCTTCGAGGGAGGAAAAAGTCGGTGTCAGACAGTTGCGATGCTTTCCTTGTTAGTCAAGCGAATGAACCGAAAGGAGAACCACGGGGTAGCTCGCAATCGATCCTTGGCCAACTCGGTCGAATCACAATTGTTATATATATATATATATATATATTTATATATTTATAGCGTATATTAATCATATATATATATCATCTCGCGCCAGAAAGGGTGAAAGGAAACAAGTGAGAACGAAAGGCGACATCCGAAATAATAAACGAATTAACAAGGGAAACGACGAAGAAAGTGGACTAGTTAACGCGCCAGCGTCGCACACGACACTCTCCCCATCTCTCTTTCTCTCTCTTTTTTTCTCTTCACCATGTTCTCTCACCCTTTCTACCCTCTCCTTCTCTCTCTCTCTCTCTCTCTCTCTCTCTCCTCTCTTCTCTCTCTCTCTCTCTCTCTCTCTCTCTCTCTCTCTCTCTCTCTATCTCTCTCACTCTCTCTCTCTCGCTCTCGCTCTCGCTCTCGCTCTTTCTCACCGTCTTCCTCTCTTTCCCTTTCTCTCATTCCCTTACTCTCTTTCACACGCGCAACACACACGTGCACACACACAACACACGCGCGCGTAAACACACGCATACGATCTCTCGTTTCTCCCTTTTCTCCTCTCTTCTACGTGTCGCAGCGTTTTTAGCAATTACAGTTGGTGTTTGTTGGATTGGTCGGCTGATCGGTGAGTCGTTGACCCTTGCTCTGGGCCATACCGCCCGCCACCAGGGTCGGATCATTGTCCAAGGATTCGCTCATCTTGTCGCATATTATGTCTACCAACTGCTCGAACACCGCCTGTCGAAAGGAGAAAATCGATCATCCGCGTGACCTCGCGAGAGGCGCGATCGATATTATGCCGCACGTTCGCTTCTACGGTTCTCGGGCTACGGTAGCGCAAAGCCTAAGGTTCGTGCGCCCTGTTGACTGCAGGAGAGAGACGGTGTCAGCGAAATTACCGACGAGTTACTCGATTCACGGTATCGGTCACGCAAGAGCGACTAGAAGGATCAGAACTCGCGGGTTCGACTCGCAGATCGAGCTCGCAGAAATTGAAACGCGCGCGCGCGCGCGATAACGCTCGAGAAGCGTATAGCCTGTAGTCGAGAATTCTCCTCGTGACTATTTCCGTGACCGCTCGATTAAACTACCGCTCGCGAGGTTGTTATTTCTGTCGTCCCGCACAAAGCGTCAATCAATTCATTGCGGATTGACGGAAACGTCGCGCGAATTGCCCTCGGAATTTTTGCACGCGCGCCACTCCTTCCTTACCGCGCAGAGATGCAAAATTTGCGCTTCGCAACGCGGTTCGAATTTCTCTGGTCTCTCTCCTCATAATTCGCGACGGCACGAACGCGCACGTTACCACATACCTTGACGTTAATGTTCTCCTTGGCCGATGTCTCGAAGAATCGCACGCCTAATTGCTCCGCCAATTGTCTACCCCTCTCGGAGCTGATCACTCTCTCCTCCTCCATGTCGCACTTGTTGCCAACGAGGATTACCTGGGCATTGTCCCACGAGTAGGTTTTTATTTGCGTGACCCAGTCCTGAACCGAGTTGAAGGATTCCTCGTTTGTGATGTCGTACATTAGGATAAAACCCATCGCGCCCCTGTAGTAGGCCGTCGTGATCGTTCTGTATCTTTCCTGACCCGCCGTATCCTGCAACGACGAACGATAATCAATAAGCTTGTCGTGCAATCTGTCGTCAGGCGAGACAAAGAGAAAGATAGAGAGAGAGAGAGAGAGAGAGAGAGATTATATCGCGGGATATATTATGTATAATCTTTCTGTACACCGAGTAGCGCGACGAGTACGCCACACACTGGAAATAAAACGTATTGATTAATGCACACGCACCGTAAATTCATCATCGATAATAATATCGAGTCGCAGGTGTATCCCTGCCCCGTGCAAAAATTCGCGACGTGAAAATTCGCCCCGATTTCGCTTGACAGCGGTGATTTTGTCTAATAATAAACGGGCGTGAGCGAGTCGAAATTTTCGGGCAGAAATTGAGCCTGCAAATTTGGTCGTGAGACTATCGTCCCCACCTTGATGCGATAAATGTTGCTTGATCACTTGGCGCCATTTTTCTTCGTGTCGAATTGAAGTCCTTGAAAGGAACTTGAGAATTTCTTAATATTGATTATCTTAATATATATATATATAGATATACACATGTAACAAGTATATAAGTTGAAGGTATACAGTTGAAGGAACAAATTTTATTTCTTTGTAATCTCATTATTGATTTTTCTATCGGCGTTGAAAGTGTGTAAAATTTATATCTATTATTTATCAATGCGTAGATACATGATTCATCACTGACGACGTCCTGACGTCCCGCAACTTTCATCCCGGACTTTACGATCCTGATCCTGGCTGTTATGACGCTTCGGCCGGTTACTGGTTCGTGGTATTCACGATTTGTTCGGTGAAGCATATATTAATTGACACGACGCAGACGGGGATCCAATCAAATGTCTCAAAACAGTCAGCGAAACATTTGATGAAAAAAATGTAACGCAAGACTAATCACGGAAAGGAGCGCGACATACGGAAATATCAAAACGACCGGCGAGAAAAGCGCGCTCATCCCCACCCATTGATTGTCAACAATCGACGCCGACTGACTGAAAACGCCGAGCGAGCACAATAATCAAAACACCGCTGACCTCTAAAGAGATCGGCTATACCTTCGCGAGTCGCGAGTACTTTTCATTACATTTCGAGCCGGCGAGCGACACGTGTACCGCGGATTACGCATTTTGGCGTACGATATTTCTCATTCCCGTCGGCTGATCCAAATATTTCATTAGACTTTTGGAATATCTCGGCAGACTTCCGTCGATTATTTGATACGTGTGTGTTCGATCGAATCGCATATATGTGAGTGTCAGTGTCAGTGTCAGTGTCAGTGCTACTGCCACGACGGAGCAGCCAGGATACTAGGCCGAGAAGCCAGGACGAAGGCTGCAGGACGTCGGACGAGGACAGCGATCATCATATATTTGCAAGGTGTGTCAAATCATTTATTATGCACGTTTCCGGTCGTCTTTAACGGTCGTTTGATGAACTTCGTCGAGAATAGGGAAACATCCGAGTCGAAATTTAGGCCGACATTCATAGTCATTATCTGACAAGTTATTATATCTTTATTAATTTCCTTTATTAATTCGTCAGTCTGTATGTATACTTAGGTTGCATTGTTTTGTAAAAGAAACTTTAGTCCATAGCTGAATAACGCGCGCGAGCGCGAATCTGTGACATCAATAAGTCATTATTAATTATGTTCTCAATTGAAAATTATAAATAATTTTCGACTATGAATGCCGACCTTAGGATTTGATGTAAATTTTTTGCAGAAAGAATTGCTGATTTCTACGTCTAATAATGCTTTTCCAATCGCGAGTTTTATCTTGTTTACATCTATCCGCACTTTTTTCACTTCCGTTTGACCTTGTTTCTTATCGTAAGGATTTAAATTGCTATCGACAAGCGCAGCATTATTGGACAAATAACTGTTATTTCTGCCCTCTTCCACAGCTTTATATCATATCAGCTCTCTTTTTAACCCTTTCAAGGCAATTTTTTTGTTTTTAAATTCTGATCGTTTTATTTATTTAAATATTTATGTATTATAGACGCGAACATTCATCAATATTTTATCAAAAATTTTTATATTAGACTAGAGGCAGGGGAAGATGCCCCATTAATATACGATAAATGGTACATTTTGATACCAAAAGCAATAAGAATTTAAAAGGTCAGTCTTTTCGAAAAACTTGGTACCGATCGACTTGAAAGGGTTAACAAGGGTTTGAAAATTTTATCGACACTTTCAACGCCAGAAGAAAAAGAAATGAGATTATGAAAATAAAAATTTGTTGTTGATTCTCTTACCCATTCACCCACCCATCTGTCACCTCTAATTATCTAAAATTTGCTTATCTCGCACACTCTTTGCAACTGAATAAATTAATATGATTAATATATTACTAACTGAAAATAGTAAGAAATATACGAGATATATAAAAAGTCGAGATAATTGAATTTTAAATAATTTTCGAACGAGTACTTCGAGCTCCTTCGACATGAAGAAAACTGCAGTGAGTCGCCGTTTGCAGTGTTAAAGTAAGCCAATAATTTATTTTTATCACCCAGACGGAGGCAATAACTGTTATCACTCTTCGAAAAATCTTGGAAATGTGAGACTAGGAAAAAAATTCATCCAACAGAAATTACACGACGCAGTAGCGATCATTCAACGACGACGAAGCGTTTTTCCAGGCAAAGTGCCTTCAAAGATCTGAACATGACATTTGCTTTTTGAAATGAAATATGCAAGATCGTAATGGTTGCTGCTTCACTCTGTATCACCGAAATTCTCCACTGCCCCTTCGAGTTCGAGACGGAACTTGCAGAGTCAGTGTGGAAGAACAATTTCGACTCGGATCACCGCCGGGACGCTCGCGACACGTTTACGACCGACGCCGCGCGCTTACGTCGGTCGAAATAATTAAAAGGATACTCATAACGGATGCGAATCCGTGCGTGTTAATATGTATGATTTCGACGCGAGAATGCGGTAACGCACGCGAGATTCTACCAATGGGAACCTGCGCGCGCAAACACACAAGCGGCGGACCGCCGCGCCGAGAGAGAGATATATACTGACCCAGATCTGTAGCTTGACCCTTTTATCGTGTCTGAAGACGGTCTTCACCTTAAAGTCGATTCCTACGGTCGACACGAAAGCCGAGGTGAAGGAGTCGTCTGCGTAGCGAAAGAGGAAAGATGTTTTGCCGACTGAGGAGTTGCCGATTATCAGCAACTTGAACATGTAGTCGAAGTTTTGATCCGCGGCATCTTTCTGCCACTTCGGATCTTGGCCTGACATCTGTAAAGGCACAACGCATCAATTAGCTTGGCATTAAAAGTTACGACAATTTACAGTAGCCGCGGCTCGATCCGTAACGCTCGAATACAACCCCCGTTGGCGCGTTTTGTAATCAATCAATCTTTGGCAACTTTAGCAACTTTTGCGCCTCGGTGCGCTAACGACTCGCATCGTTGTCGACGCTTGTCGGTATAGCTCGTGACACTCTCGAATAAATACAAACTCAACATGTATCTACATTCTTTTACATTTATCGCAGAATTTCTCCTCACACGAGGACTCCGACTTCTGCGAAGGATTAATAATCGCAGGAAGCGACAGATTGTCTCAGAAATTTTCGCGCCTCTACGACACTCGGCATTTTCTCGTTTATCTTTCGCGAATCGACAAGGACCGGAGGAGAGACAAGTCACAAAGTCACAAAGTCTGGGCGTCGCGACTGACGACTTAGCACGCGCGGTCGTAAAATTGCACCCGCGGCGCGGGACGGGGTGGGCAGGAAGCCGCGCGGCGCAACAGATGAGTTTACTGATGATTCGTCGCAGTTTATCGAACCGTCTCGAGACCGTCACGGAATCCTTAACGCGACGACGTCGTAATTAAAAAGCAAGACGAAGAATTCCCACTTTTGCGGCGCGTGTAGCCTCTTTTCTCTCTCTCTCTCTCTCTCTCTCTCTCTCTCTCTCTCTCGGGCGCAGCGCGAGATTGAAAACAGAATTCGAGCGATACGGAAAACGGTTAAATTTCATCGACGACTCTCGTAATCCTTCGAGCTGTCTGTAGAATCCACCTCGCGTGTAACAAACATGTTGCACGCCCCCCCGCCCCCGTCATTCTCTCTATCTCTCAGCTGTGCCTCTCAATTAAACCGCAAACGGAGAATCCAATCGAGTCGTTGGGATTTATGAATCGCCAATATTATCGTAAGCGCGCGCGAGCCCTAATTGGGTCTCTCTCGAATTTCTCGCAGGTTTCTCCTCTCGCCCGCGCTCGGCGAGAACGCCCGTTCTCTCTCTGTGTGTGTGTGTGTGTGTGTGTGTATACTCGTGGTCGGTACAATTATACTCCGATACCGGATTCTTCCTCGGCGAGGTAATCTCGACGATGGACATCATCCGTGTCATCCGCGTGCGCAACTCGAAAACGGAGTCCTTAACCGGCGCGTTGGACGCGCTGCCGCGCCACCTCGACATCTGCCACACGTTAACGACACATTCGTGACGTGTGCGATCGCTTTACTCTCCTCTCTTTTCCGCCGCGCTTTTCGGCCACTTTTCGCCTTTAGCGGAACGCTCTCGCGCGCGCGCGCGCGCGAGTCTTCGCAGTCTAGTCCCGTGCAGTAATCAAGTGCAATTTCATCAGCCACCTTATCGCCGCCGTTCCGCTCGCTGTGTCTGCAGCCCCGCTGTCTAAGCAGCTGCGATTTATTTACCATCTGCCCGCGATCGCACGGCCGAGTTTTCGCCGAGTGTCGACGCGCCGCTCGGTCGCTCCGCCACGTTTAAGCCACGTTCGCTCGACCGGCCGATCGCGGCGATTCGTCGCTGGCTGATCGGGCGCGCTGAATCGTCGCCGATTCGCGACGTCCGACGTTTGTCGAACGTTCGACGTCTGCAGCTGCTTTCCTGCCGGCCGACATTCGGCGGTCGTTCCCGATTCCCGTCGTCGTCGGTCAGCTTCTTCCAGCGGCGGCTTCCAAACTTTCCTCGTATAATCCCCCGACGCGTGCGAGTCGTCTCGCACCCAGAGCGGCCACTCGGAACTTGGAACGAATTGGAACGATCGCGCGCGCGTTCAACGCGCTGTAGTGTGCAGGCTCGAGTCGGCCCGAATGCGCGCTGCAGAGCGCGAGCATCGACGTGGCCACATTCGCGCGGCGGTCTCTTCCGCTTGTCGTTGCCACGGCGCCGTGTTCCTTCCGCAGGCGCGGCGATAATCGGCCGCGCGAGCGATAACGCGTGCGGTTCGCGCAGGTGCGTACAATTTGCGTTCGTGTCGCCTTTTCATAATTCATCCTGTCGCTCGTCGTCCCTACAATGCGCGCGAGGCTGATGCAGTTTGCTAATGCAGTTTGCTGATGTAGTTTGCCAAGGCTAAGGTTGGCTAACAGAAACGCGCGCGGGGCTCGCGGCGACATAATTGCGCGCGACGAATTGGAGTGTTGTCTCGTGGAGGACGGTTTAAGATTTCTTCGGCGAGATAGACCTCGTGAGACGGGCGAGCGGGAGGGGAACGCCTCTCTCTCTCTCTCTCTCTCTCTCTCTCTCGTCGGGAGTGTCGGCGATAAAATCGCGCGGAGGGCCTCGTGGCGATAAAGTCGCGCGAGTCCCGGCCGCGGATATTTCCGTGCAGGACGATTGATTATCTTGACCGACTCTGTCTGTCTCTCTCTCTCTCTCTCTCTCTCTCTCTCGGAGACCGAGCGGAAACTTCGGCGGAGTCGGGTCCGATTAAAAGTCAATTAAGAACCGATGGTCTGCGCGTCGGCTTGACGCGGGAGAAGCGCCGCTTGGCATTCTTCTGGAAGATAAATACGAATAAAACGAGTCGATTGAGTGGCATGCCTTTGCGACATGACACCGTCTGTGTCTCGCGGGGACGCGCGGCAGGATGAGGTTTACGCTATTTTCTTGCCCCCTCGTTATCGTTTCCACGAGCTGGCGGACCGCGCGTCAGCTCCGGCCGACGGCGCGGTGCGGCGCGGCGTCACGTCGGTCGCCGAGGCGATTTTATTTACGCGCTCCAAAGTATCGAAACGTCTCAAACACGAGTCTTACGGCGTGACGTGTTTTCCTCGCGACGCAGTCGCGTATACGCGCCGAGAACGGCACGTCGCGAAAATAGACTGCCTCCCTTCGGGGTCGTGGAGGGGGATGTTGGGAGGAGGGAACTTGGAAACTCGACGAAACGACGTCTAATGTACGCAACGTGACAGTAATTAACGACGGTACATCGCCTTTCGCACCGTCTGCTCTCTCCTCATGCGCAAGCGATACCGGCCATGGCCACGGCGAGAACGTGCAAAAAGGAAAGAGAGAGCGGCAGGAAAGAGGAGAAAAGGGAAGAAAGCGATTTTCCCGAGAGCCGATCGATCAGCGGATTGCCCGCGAGTGTGTGTGTGTGTGTGTGTGTGTGTGTGTGTGAGAGTACGAACGCTTGGAAAAGTAAATCGCCGCGGCGAGAGCGATAAATGCGCGAGCGTGAAGAAGGCGCGCGGCGGAAACGAGAGAAAACTTTTCGGGAGCGGGTCCTTATCGATTTTGCACGCTCCGGACTCGCGAGCCGGGCTCTCTCGCCCGGCGAATAACAAACCTGTCGACCCGGGTTCGTTCGCGAAACTTTCTACTCGCTCGCTCGGACAGCTTTGTCCTCCTCGGCTCTCGCGCCGACGAAGACAAGGAACGCGCGCGAGTGAACGCGGAACTCGAGATCGGAATTGACTTTCGCGCTCGGCAGGATCCTCGGAGCGCGCGTACGATCTTCTCGTCGATCTTCTCACTTACGTATCACTTCGGAGATGCCGCCATTCGCGATCGCAGCTAATCGCAGCGCGGCTGTGATCCGCCTAACGCCTCGTCACCGTGTATCACCGCCCGGGAAGAAAGTGGCTGCAGGAGGTTTGAGCGACCGACGATGTCGGGACGATGCGTCTCTCTCTCTCTCTCTCTCTCTCTCGCGCGCGCGCGCGCGTCCAAAGCGGCGTCGTGTGTGCGATTATTCCGCGGGACGCGAGGCGTGCGCTCGCACTCGCGCGATAAAAGGCCGAGGATAAAATCTCATCCGGCAGATTGCGTCGTTCATACACAAATGCGTACTCACACACCCAACGCACAAACACACACGTACGTGTGCCCGGCGCTCGCGAGTGTCACACGGCGCGGTTAGGGAAAAGTGGGACAAGGTTTCCCGTGCGCGATAACAATATCGGCGCCATGCCATACGTCACGTCGCTGTTAACAACGGGCCCGTTCTCGCGGCGAGGACGGAAAACAAACGGCCAGACGGAAAAGAAGAAGGAAAGAACAACAGGGAGGGAGGGAGCGGGGGAAGGAAAACTATGCGAGCGCGTTGACGCGCACCTGTGCGTTGTTGCATGCTGTTTGCGCGCGGCGCGCGGTGGCTGTTCTCCCCGGACGGCCTGGGAGGTAATTGAGCGTTCCGCGGAACAAATGATGATCGAGGCGGACGAGCGTTTCCACGGAGGTCAAGTGGATACGGAAATCGATGCTACGACGATGACGACGGCGACGGGACAAGTCCATTCCTCCTCGCGGAGGACGCGCTCTTTTACGAAGTTGCTTTTGCAATCGGCGCGGAAATGTCGCGTCGAGTCGACCCATCTTTCGCTCGCGTCCCCCGAGGGGGGGAGGGAGTTTCTCGCTCTTGAAGAAAGTAAATCTCAGCACTTTCTAGAGAGAGAGAGAGAGAGAGAGGGGAGGAGGGAGGAAGAAACACGTGTCTCCCCTCGCGACCTACAATAGTCGCGGGCGCTTTTGCTCTCGCCGACACGAGTTTCGCGTCATCTCGCGATGAATAAATGAGGAAGAAAACGGCCGCGCGTCTCGCGCGTAGAGTGTCACAAGGCTGCGTCTGCGAGAGAGACGCATTGACTTTTTCGATAACTAATTGAATGCTTCCAGGAGCAATCTTCGCCGCATTTTGCCTCCTCACTAAACGCTGCATTTTTCAATAATTTTATATATATATATATATATATATTGTTTTGGTTATTGACATATGTAATTTTAATACTTTTCACCGTAATGTAAGTTTGATTGATCTTCGTTATATATTAGTCATCTCAATTTTATGTATACCAAAGGGTGTTTACCCGTATAGCGTCAAATAAATAGATAAATAAAAAATTGACGCAGGACGCGGCGAGTCCTTCGCTTCTCGTCGACCGGGTTTCGTGCGACTCGATTCAAGGCGAGAGCCGCCTCTCGGATCGGGTCATCGGAGTACAATTACCGGGCCGTCCTATCGCGGACGTATTATAATGATTGCGATTCGTATTCGCAGTCACGTCCTCGTCGACACCGGCGACCGCGAGCAAATATTTTCGGAGGATCGATTGTTACAACCCGATGCCCGCCCACGCGCTCCTCGCGCGCTCTCCCGCAGCCGCCCGTTACGTAGTTTCGATTTCAGTGCATCGCGGAATGAACGGCAGCGAAAGATGGAGCCTCGGTTTATGTCAGAGACACACGCGCGCTAGCGTGGCGAATATAAGTCTTTGACAACCCCGGCGCCTACGCCGGGGGCGAATGATCAACCCCTTCGGCCGGCCGCGTCGCCTAACAGCTTTCTCGTGCCGTGTCGGTCCGCAAGATACGCTCTTGCACCTGTCGAGAACAGCTCCGCTTGACGGGACGAGCACTCGGCCACGCGACGAGCAGAGTGCCTCTCGACCGTTCTTCACATTATTTCTCACCACCAAATTATCAATTACACAAACGGGCCAGAGGGTGGGGCGGAGATGGTAAGATAAACAAAACGGAGGAAATTGGGGCGCGACGAGGAGTCGAGCGGACTTGCCGCGGAATTAAAAGCCGAGTCGTGTCGCGCGCGCGCGCGCGCACACGCACACACACACACACACACACACACACACACACACACACAGTCGCGCGATCTCCCGTTACACTCGTGAGAAATTGCTCGAGAGGCGGCCAGAGCGGTCAGGTGATTAAACAGGGAGGGCCGAGCGATTAACGTCACGTGTCATGACGCTGCTGTATCTGCTTCGTGCACGCGTTGCTCGATCGCTTCGATTTATTATCAGCGTCGCGCTCCTGCACGGAGCATTCGCTGTGGTCGACGTGCACATGTGCATCGGGGTGTCCCGGAGGGATATCGGGATATCGCTGCTGATCGATTCGCTGCCGATCTCGGGCAGCCCGATGATCGCATTCGATTACAGAAACGTCACTCAGCTGGGCAGGGGCTGTCGGACGACAGGGCGCTAACTTATCGGCGCCGTCTCTTCGGCCGCCGTTGATTCCTCGTTGATTCGACTCGAGAAGGAGTGAGTTGGAGGGAAAAGCGAATCGCTCGGTTCGCGAGATCCGCGCGGGAAGCGTCGGAGGAAGCTTGGCGCGTGACGAGAGTCGGGTCGAGCGATTGTCGAGGCGTGCCGAGTGAGCTATCGCTCACGTCACGAGCCTACATGTCGCATGAAACGCAGAAAGCGAGTGCGGGCGAATGGCAAAACCGTCGATCGTTCGGTGGCCGCAGTTTCTCACAAAGCGGGCGCGCAGGAGATCGAAGCACGCTAGCGCTGGCCTGGCGGACGAGGTCGGTCGGCCCGTCGAGGATAATACGCATATCGCTGCGCGGGGCCCGCTAACGGTGAAAAGTCGCGCTTCCAAGTGCACACACGTAGCACACTGATGAGCGAGAAGGAAAACAGAGCAAGAAGGAAGGAAGGACCGACGGACGCGCGGGGCAGACGGAGCATGACGGAGTTCCGATCTGATCGATAGGCGTTTTGCGTAAACTCGCGAAACAGCCGAGAGTGTCACTCGAGAGAACAGGAATATCAAAGAGAGACGGAGGCGGGTAGACACCAAGATAGGCAGAGAGAGAGATAGGGGGGGGGAGGGAGAGAGGGAGAGAGGGGGAGGACACAGAGAGATAGATAGATAGATAGATAGATAGAGAGAAAGAGGGGGGAGGGGAGCAAGAGAGCGAGAGAAGGAAAGAGAGCACGGAAGGAAGAGAGGAATAGATGAAGAGAAATCAATAAGCAAGCTTATCGACGAGTTAACCCTCCGCGTCTCGAAAATCCGTCGAGGCTCGTTCGCGAGTCTCTTTATCGTGACGGGATTCCCGAGATTCCCGATTCGAGTCGCGTCGAAAGCGAAACGTCACCTGGAAGGATTACTCCCTGAAGGTGGGAAAGGAGGTGGCCTCCCCTTGCGGACGGCGGATCGCTCGTGCCTCCTCGAGAGTGCGACGAGGGCAATCCCGCACGGACGTCGTCGGCGGCGACCGTCGATGCGACGAGAGATGCGACGGATGCACCACGCGCTGCGCTCGGCGCTGCCACCGATCGATTAATATTTAACGCACGATGTGTGTAGTAACGCGCGCGTTGGCGGCGGCGGCGGCAGCGGCGGCGACGACGGCGACGACGACGACGACGACGACGACGACGACGGCGACGACGACGACGACGACGACGGCGGCGGCGAGAACGATGACGATGACGGAAGTAACGGGGATGCTTCGGCGGCTGTCGCGTGGGGTCGTAGGTTCCTCTCTCTTCTTCTTCTTCTCCTCCTCCTCCTCCTTCTCCTTCTCTCTTTCCCTCTGTCGGCGCACAAGACGGAAGATGTTACTCCCTCACGACGCAACCCTCGCTCTGCCGCTCTCGCACGCAGCACGGTAGCGCGGCTAGGGTTTATTTCGCGAGCGATTACAAAGAGACTGGACTGGTGGCTCTCGGCGAGGCCTCGCGCCACCGTAGACTCTCCGCGTATATAGCTAAAATATCGACCATTTCGTACGAACCCCCGCCCGTCGGCTCGAACCGGAGGCAAAGCCGCCGCGCTTGCGCCCGCCGCCGACCGCCCCGACTGACATCAATATAACCGTGAATAGGTGGGCCGCGTATCCTCCCGCGTCGCGCCGAGGGAGAGAGAGAGGACACTTGTTGATCCGGGAAGGCTTCCCCCGCGACTTCCGCGACTTTCGATCTGCCGTTCCCGGTCGATCGATCGCGCCCGCTGATAATTAGCACGAGTGAGAGTGCCTTCGGGCTTACGCCCGCTCTTCTTCCATCTTTTTGCGAGAGAGTGCGCTTTTTCTCGTCCGTATTCATTGTCAGAAACGAGGCGCTTGAGACCGTGGCGTGTCGTCGTTTTACGTCGCGAACGGGCTAGACGAGTGAGAGCGATTGTAGCCTTGGATTGGGGGGAGTCCCGGGCGCGCGCGCGCGCGCTCGCGCATAAATCCGCGTTTGATTGGTTCGAAGATTAACTCGGATTACGGAGAAATGAGATACTTTTTTTCTCGTGCTTCTTGTCTCTCTTTCTCCTTACGGAAGGAGGGACGATGACTGAGTTTTAACGCGCTTGATATCGCAGGCGTGGAAGACAGAGCTACACAGTGACAGATGGTGATTGTTCGCAAAGTTTCTGCCTGCGAGAGGATCGATACTGAGTCCGATAAAGAATCTGTCGCTGAAGTTTGACGTGATCGATCGAAGATACCTCGAATATGCAGGGTGGAATTCGCTATCGACCCGCGTGTTGGTCACACACACACACACACACACACACACACACACACACACACACACACACACACACACACACACACACACACACACATATAGAAAAACACCGTGCGTTCCATCTGTAGCAAGACCGGAGAAACAAGAGTTCCCTCGTGCTTCTGTCGGCTGTCGGAAGAAGGCCGTTCATGACTCGCAATATTGATTTCTCCAGTATGTAACGTTAGATTATGACGCCGTTATTAATACAGTCTTGCGCACACATTCATCTATAAGTGAACGATCACGCATGTTCCAATCGTATCGATCAAGCGTATCAGTTTCTTCCGATCGCTCGACTTGGTCGAAGGACACTAATGATCTTCATCTTGCTTGCTGAATCGCAATTGTGAATCGCGCGTGATTTTTCGTCGATCGCGCTCTTAAAAATATCACACTGACTTAAAAGTATACTTGGAAAACAACATATTTAAAAATAATTCCTGGCTACGCCGTGGAGCACGAGAATAAAGAGATTCTCTTGTATCGAATCGCACTGTCTAAAAATAAAAAGTCATTGAGTCGTACGTTCTATAACTTCGCTTCTCTGCTAATGACGCATGGCGGCTGGTCGCGCACTTTGAACTTAAAAAAGAAACGTAAAGGCTAAACAGCCAAGATACAAACCGTATTTAGTCGAGATTCAAACCCACCACCGGCCACTGATCTTTCGCAATATCGCTGTTCGGCTCCGGCCCAATCGTTGAAAGTCCTTTTTCAGGGGTCTAGCAAACCGACCATTAAATTCCAAGCTATAGTTTTAAAATTCCGCTGCGAGCAGCCACCGTTTCTACCGACAAAGTGAGCTCGTAGTACGACTCAACGACAAAGCGGACGGAATTTTTATCTTCAAATATTAACCACGCGGTACTTGTCCTCCTCTCTCTCTCTCTCTCTCTCTCTCTCTCTCTCTCTCTCTCAACGGCGGGTCTATAAGTGATCACTAAATATTGATAACAATAATTTCTGAGGTAATGGATAAATAATTGTCGGTGATTATAAGATACGATCGGTTGTTAGAGATTGATTATCTGAATGTCTTCTTTTCCTTGATATCGTCTTAATTATTTATAATCCCCCTGATATACTATACAACGGGCACTTTATTCAACGTAGTTTACAAAAATACGTGAAATCTACTATATACAGCGTTTTTATTTGTCGAGGATTATCGCCGACCTCATCGGATGATGAACGAGTAAGACACCCCGTCGTGAATGATATTCAAACGAGATGCCGAGAACGAGAATGAAACCACCTGACGCGCTCTAGTCCGAAACACGTCCTTTGTACATTTAGCACCAACAATCCACGTCGCACGAAAATAGCACGCGACTGCGTCCGTCGGTATATAGTTAGGCCTTAACTTCACTTAACGACCGTGGCCTCGTGTATTTATTGAAACCGACGTAAACGTACCTAATCGCGCGACTGTGAATGTGAAAGTCCTCGTGAAATATGAAAGCTTCTATAAGCGATAGCGCAGGAACGGGCCCGGGATCGATAAGTCGACGTCTCCGATGTTAACGACGCGACACTAAGATCTCCTTGCAGCGCGGGCTGCGCGTTCTTCTTCGCGAAGTAACGCGAACTAATAAGTAACTCGCGACGTACGATCTCGATGTGTGATTCGCTCCTTGGCTCCTTCCTGGAAACTTCACCTCGGGATCGTTAAAGTCGTTTGAGTTTGCTCGGCCGCTGCTGCTATTTCCCGATCACTCAATCTCTACATTCGATCCTTCCCGCCCCCCCCCCTCCCCCCCTCGTCTGTGCTCATATTTTCTCACAGCATGTTGCACCTCCCTCCGGCTTGTTTGCGCGATTATTCCTGTTCGCAACCGATAGCAGAGTGCAACGTTTGCGTTTTACCGCGCACTTATTACGTGATTTGATCGCAACCGACTATAAAAAGACAGCCTTTCAGGCTAGACTCTATTAACATTGTTTTCTTGTGAAGAAACGAGGTAATATAGCTCCAATTATACGCAGTTTCACAGTATTTTTAACTTCTTCGATACGCGCGTTCGACTATACGACTGTCTCCGTCAACGCACGTTTTCTTCATTTTTCTTCCTATCGGTCAAATGATTCGCATCTCAAAATAACTTCTTATCTCTCACTAATAACAATTTTTACACACACACACGCACTGTTATATGTTGACGTCATCGAGGTGTTGCGATCGATAAGCCGACGACTGCCAATTATTATCTATTATAATTTGCTCTCGCTACTTTCGTCGTAAACGACCGCCGGATTCGCGGCTGCCCATTGTTCCTTGAAGACGTGTTGCTCTTGCCTGGGCTTGTCCTTCAGGTTCTGTATGCCGGCGTAATGCTCCTCGATTTCTATCAAAGTCCTACCCTCGGTCTCGGGTAATATGGCGAATAGCAAACAGCCGCCGATCAGGTTGATCAAGAAGTAAAAGAAGAACGTGCCGGCCAGCGACATTCCGTTCATCATGTAGAGGAAGGTTTTATTCGCGACTGATGAGAAGACGTAGCCGGTCGAGCCGGCCGCGCCGGTCGCGCCGCTGCGTACCTGGTGGTCAGTAGAAATTTCTCGAGATAATTCAACGTCAAGGTCGTGCCGGGCGACAGAAATCGTTTCATCGGTTCGTAAGATAAATGATATAAATTCGTAAAATAAATAAAATAATTCCGGGCAAAATTATATCACTCGGAGAAGAATACGGGAGACATTGAATGCCTGTAGCCTATAGCTTTTTCTAGTGTCCAAGTTTACGGTAGTGTGAAAGTATCCAAGTTTCAAAGAGTCGATGCAAATAATTACGTTAAACATACATGTAACGTAGAGATCAAGAATTGCGTGCGAATCAAGAATTTTCATGTCGAATCGAACCGAATCGAATCTCATTTTTTTAAATGCGCGAATTCGAATCGAATCGAATGCAATCGAATCGGGAATCATTAAAAAATTTAACATGACTATTAAACATGCAAGTAACGACGGAAGATTTAATAAATAAAAAGGGAATATCGATGTTGTAGTATCATCTTAAAGTAAAATATATATTTAAATAATTAAAGTAATTTGTAATTAAGTTAATTACAAGTTAAGGGTTCAAACATACAGGCCCGGATGGCCTGTCGTTTCGTAGCTGATGTACGCGCAAACGATAATGTATTTGATTCCTATTCGAATTATTCGGATTCAAGTCATAGGGATTCGAATCGAATCTAATGTAATTCGATTCGATTCGAATTCGAATAGTTTGCACATCTCTAATGTAATGCAATCGATACAATTTAACTAATATATCACGTTAAATATTGCGTCAAATGTAATGTATTTAATTTCACAAAGAGAGTTTACCCTCTTTGCCTCTGTTCATCCAAAGCCCCGAAATCGCTCGAGAAGAGCTCAGAATCGCAGATAAGAATTTGTCTGCGATTTCGAAGTCTCAAGATATTGTTGATGACTATTTCAATATACTCGCGCTTGAGAAAGAGAACGAGATCAAAGGGGTGCCCCGAGGATTACACGGGATTGAGATGAAAAATGAAAGAGAAGAGAGAGAGAGAGAGAGAGAGAGAGATTAATTCGCGAGCGTACCTTCACGGGGAACACCTCGCCGATGAGAACCCACGGCAGCAACTTGATACCGACGTTCGCCATGAAAGCGGCGCCTATCATGAGAGTGGTCGGTATCCAGGTGTACTTCACCCCGTCCAGGTAGTCCGCGTCGTTGAGGAAGCCGTAGATGGCGGCGAGGAGGAAGCACAAGCCGGTGCCGCCGACCGACAGGAAAGACATCATGCGTCTGCCTGTGAAGTGAATCGTCAACACGCAGATCAGGACGCCGATTAGTTGCGCGACGCCCAGGAACACCGTGGCTGTGTACTTGTCGATCGGCGCCTTCAGCTTGACGAATATCACAACGGCGAAAGTCTGCAAGGTCACGGTACCGCCGAAGGCGCTTATGAAGAAAGCCGCGCTCACTAGGATGAAAGGCAGGTAGAACGTTCGCTTGGTGTACGATCGCCAAGCCTTCTCCTTCTCTCTCTCCTTCCCGTCGGGATCGACGGTGCCGACCCCGGCTGGCTTCTGGACCGCCTTGCAGAGCGTCTGGAACTCGTCTCTCACCTGGCTCGGGCCTACCCAGCCTCGTAGCCAGCAGAGAGCCCGCTCTGATTCCTTAAGACGACCCTTAACTAGAAATAAAAGCGATTGTTAGCTTGTGTCAGGAACACTCGCGACGAGGTCGCGCCGAATTGTTGACTGCCGGCGCGAAGTTAGACGGACGTGCACTTTGTACGAAGCGGCGAGCTCTCGGATACTGGAGCCCGATTCTGCGCGCGCGAGAAAAAAAAGAGGAACGGCTCGACGGCTGTGTAAACGGCTGCTGAATAATTCAACGAGTAAGCACCAAGAAGCGAGAAGAAGACTTGGTTACACAGTAATTGAAGTACGTAGGCGTGAAGCGCGCGCAGTTCGACGTCTGATTGAATGTGCAATTCCGCGAGCGCGGAGAAATGTATAAGAATAAAAATGAAAATTAAATAGAAATAGCCGTGATCCGCGTGTGTTGTGCGTTCATTCAATCGGTTATCGAGCGGAGCTCGAAAATCTCCCGATCTCGCGTGAATCGCTGAATACGAGGAGACTCACCAGCAAGCCAATACGGGCTCTCGGGCATCAGGCATAACGAGAGGAAGGAGAGAATCGGGTAAGCCAGGTTGACCAATGCCACTGTCCTCCAGTGGGCCAGACTACCGCTCAACATCTGCGTGAAGACGCCCAGTATGACGGACAACGACGAGGTCGCGGACAGCATACCGCGCAAGTGAGGCTGCGTCACCTCGGCGACGTAAGTCAAGACCGGCGCTTCCAGAAGACCGCCGGTCAGTCCCGTCAACGCGAGCGCTGCGAACAACATCGCCGAATTGCCGGCGTAATAAAACATCAGCCAGGCTATCACGAACGGGATGTTCGCCAGCATCATCGTGCACTTCCTGCCGAGGTATTGCGAGAGCGGTCCGCTCATCAGACAGCCGATCGGCACGAGAAATAAGTTTAGACTGCCTGGAGGAAGACAAGAAGAGAATTATCTCGCTTCGATTACATCGATTTATTAATATCGATTATATAATACTTATTAATTATAAACGACGCGTGTGACCAGCGATATTGTTGTTAACGTGACATTTTTAAATAATTCACGAGTAAAATTAATTTATCGGAAACTTGCGGCTTGAATGTGAAATACGATTTAATCAGATTAACATACATCTATAAATAATATAAATTCAGATAAATACATTTCAATGAGCGTACAAATGATATTAAAAATTATAATTGCGAAGGCTATCGACAAAGATGTCATTTCCTAAATGACCATCATTCATAAATTCAATTTAAATCAAATGCGCTCCCGGTTCGCAATGTCGACTCGACTCGACTCGACTTTTCGTCGTCGCGTCAATTTTAGTTCGTCGATTGGAATGTCGGTGATTGCGCGAACTGCGGCTTCGACGAGTGAGAGAGAACCCGTAAAATTCGCCGCGGTTTATTCTTCGCTTAACACGAGCCGATCCTTACTGATCCACGTGAGCTCCTCTATAGTGACCTTGATGTCCGTATCCTCCCTCTGTAACGCCGGGATGAGAATGGTCGAAAATCCCAAGGTAGAACCGAACGCGACCAGGAGTATGTTTTTGGCGCTGACCGCGCAACATTGCGGTAAAGCTTGCCGAAGTTTCGTGACGTGCACTTCGTCGACCGCCACCGGCGGCTTATCGTCGCTCCTGAAATACGGATTTCAGCGTAACGTGTACGTTAGTCACACGAGAACCGGAATCGGTGAAATTATATTTAACGAGAGACTAATATGTTTATCACACACATCACATATTATTCTTCAAAATTTCTCTCGTGAATAATCTCGCATAATATAAGCGAAAAAAAAAACAGCTCATTCATTTTTCCGACTGATTTATATTTCGATTTTATTCACGTCGTACGTTTCTTTCCTTATCGAGCTGCTTCTTATACCGGGTGCGCAACTAAGTTTCACACATGGATGGCGCTAACGACACGTGTAGTCGACACACATGTCTGCGAAGTTGTGTTTTTTTTTATAGCTTGGACATCTGTCAACAATAACCAGTCGCAATACCAACACATATCGCGACGCAAAACTATTTTTATCTAACAACGAAGATGTCGAGTTTTGTGGCAGATAAACAGCATTTGCGGGAAGCTTTGCTTTTCTGCTTTAACCTGGAAAAAAGTGCAGCTGAAGCACGTGGTCTGCTTGAGGAGGCCTACGGCGAACATGCACCATCGAAAACTACCTGTGAAGATTGTTCCAAACGTTTACCATTCGCCATGGGAAAAATTCAAAAGGAAGGGAAATGGGTGCCGCGTGAGTTGACTGAGAGACAGATGGAAAATCGAAGAGCCCCTTCCGAAATTTTGCTTTCGCGGCATGAGAGAAAGAGTTTCCTGCATCGAATTGTTACTGGCGATGAGAAGTGGATATATTTCGAGAATCCCAAACGCAAAAAATCGTGGCTTTCACCCGGCGAAGCGTCAACATCGACGGCACGGCCAAATCGCTTCGGAAAGAAGACAATGCTCTGCGTTTGGTGTGGGACCCCGAAAAGGAATCGTGTACTATGCTGCTGCTGAAAAGAAGCCGGGCGAAACTGTCAATGGGCATCGCTACCGATCAACAACTGATCAATTTGAACCATGAATGCATTGCTCGAAAAACGGCCAGAATGGAACGAGTGATATCGCAGCACGACAACGCTCCGTGCCATCGCACTTCCATCGTCCAGGACACCATCGAAACGCTGAAATGGGATCTGCTACCGCACTCGCCGTATTCGCCAGACCTGGCCCCTTCCGATTATCACTTGTCCCGGTCGATGGCGCATGGCTGCTTGGCTGGGCAACACTTGGCCAATTTCGAACAAGTGCAAAATTGGTTGGACGAATGCTTTCGGTCCAAAGACGCGTCGTTTTATCGTCGCGGTATTCACGTATCGCCAGAGAGATGGCAAGAATGTGTAGCTAGCGAGGGACGATACTTTGAATAAACCATTGTTTGTATTTCTCTTGAAATTTTCCATTTTTCATTGATCAAAAAGAAACCCGGAAACTTAGTTGCGCACCTAGTATTATCTCAGGCATTAATTCACAGATCAGTCGAGAGTTTTACGATATACCGAGATACAATTGGCAATCAATTGCTTATCGACTAATAAAAGCCCATCCCTCCGTCAGCGAGAATAACTTTTGAAACTTTCGAAATGTATTTTGCAGAGTTTCCTGCGAGCTTCCGTCTCGAGATGATGGTTATTTGAAACGGCGGCAAAACAGCGGCGTTCGCTATCGCGTCGTTTCCTCTGCGTACGTTTCTTTTAATTTAGACACGTGGATTTAATTTTGTCCCTCTTTTTCTCTGGAAATAAAATATTCTTTAAAAGTAGGAGCTACTTGGTAGTCTTGAGAGTGCTTTGGGACGCACGGCGCAACGTTGAGCGCCTACGTGTAACGCATTGAATTCTCAATCAGCCGAATAAACGGTCTTAAACGCCGCAGGCAATTGTCAAGATGGAAGTCTCACGGATCAGCGATGACGAGTGAATCTATTGGCGAAACAGTCGAATGTGCCGGCAGAGCCGACATTGTGACAGCCTTAAAGCCACGATTGGCCACGATCTTCAGGCGTGTGCACGCACGTATGGCGTGCGGCTGAAAGTTGTAACAACCCTGATCACATAAACGTGTTAAGGCTCCGCACGCATACGTGTAATTAATCAGAGTAACAACGCTGATCACACTTAGCGCGCCTCCCGAAGCGCGGAGAGTTTCGTCGTCCCTGAAGCCGCACGTTCGCTCGTCAGAAAGCTCAACGTAGAAAGAGAGTTATGCGATGCGTCGTACATTTCTAGGATCTGAGAGGGATAAAAATAAAAGTGAGAATCTCACGAGAGAGGGGGAGAGAGAGAGAGAGAGAGAGAGAGAGAGAGAGAGAGAGAGAGAGAGAGAGCGGTAACTTCGCGGTAAAGCGCGCTCGCGCGCGCTCAGAGCTGCAAACCGGTTTACGATAATCCACATGTCGCGTTGCGCAAACGTTGAAGATTGCGCGCCATTACGTAAGCGCGAGATAACAACACTGGGCAATCATAGGCGAATCTTTTGTGTCGAATTATGTAAAATTGTCGCGGCGAGCATTATATGAATACGAACACCGCGAACGGACGAACAATGCGATTAGCGCGGCTCGTGCGCTTGCTTAAAGCGAGTAATTATTCTTTTTCTAATCGCGTCCGATGGTAGTCCTCCTGCGGCCCCGTAGCCGTCGCTTCGGCAGGTAAGTCCGATTCCGCTTCCGGGGACAGCTCCGCCACGCGAAACGAGTCGCTATTCTCTCGTTCGGAATAAAGCTCTCGGTAATGACGTAACGCGATCCCGTTTTCCACGCGCGCGCGGAAACATAAGCGCGTCTGTTGCTCCTCTCGGGGAAGAACGCGCAGCTTCGTAATTTGACGACATTAATTTCTGACGTTACACAGGGCTTAGTTTTCCGTGTTTCCGTCCGGGAAAGTCTTTGAAGAGATCGGGTTCGTTAAATTGGGGGGGAAACTCGGCTCGACTTCCGATGTCTTCTTCGAGGCTGAAGACGCCAGCCACCTCGAGTGTCTTTCGAATATTAACGAAGGCTCGTAAATAACAACGGCGACCGCTCGATAGAAAATAATTTATTTCCACTGAATTCAACGAGGCCAGATGGGACGCTGAAAATGTGAGCAACCCAGTGTTGATGTCTTTTCTGTCTGCCAAAATATCACGCGAACGCGCGGGATAGCCTCGAGCGATCAATTAAACAGAAGCTGAGGCGTGAGACGTTTCCTCTTTGCTTTTACAGACTCGCGAGGAACACGAGCGAATTGTGCGAATCTAAAAATTCGTAACTCCTCGTGAAAGCCCCTCCCTCCGATTGGACGCTGCGTGCGCCGAAGGACCTGCTAATCGATGTTGATTTTTCGCGGCCGCTCAATCAAACGGTCCGATGTGACTTTAATTGCACTTAAACCGCGCACCGAGTGTCCTTCGCGCGTGCATAGAAAATCAATCGCTTCACGGCACTTAATCGGCCAAGTGAATCGGATTTAATCAGGAAATCGCGCGACAAAAACGACCGAACCGCTGATCGTTCTCACTTCCCGTGTTGTTCGTTCAGCGGCAAATCGCGAGACTAGGCAAGCGTCGCCGTTTATTCGATCCGCCTCGCGCTCTCGCGAGAGAAAAGGAAGTCTCTCACCCTCGGGAAAAGGAAATGTATGCAGCAGCTTCACGTTTGCTAGGCTGCTTGCGACGCCTGGGATCCTAGAAGCAAATGTTTGCGCGGGTAATACCCGTACTTACGTACTCGCGTCTGTTTTATCGATAACTTTTTCTTACTCCATTCACGATACGCTTCGCTTCGAATACCGCAAGCGGAACGTATCACGATCGCGCACGAGCTTATCCTTGTGATAATGACAATCCTTGCCAAACATTTAGATCGTTACGTGTCACGCACGCGACAATGACTGAGCCGAGCCCGCGGAAACGCGCACATTTCCGGGCTCCAAGCTCAATCGCGTCAAGGTTTTCCGCAAAGTGTTAGGGGAAGGTTGCTATCATTGGGCCGGCTCCTTCGATGAGCCACCTCCATTATTCTGTTGTTATTGACAGTAAGCGCTATCTATTGACCGTTTAATGTACCGCATGAAGCTTGAAAATTGCCATCTTGACTGTGAGTTGATCCACGCGCAAACAAGGTTCCTATACAAGAAAGTAAGATTTTTGTACTTTTCCTCTAACTTATCAGTGTCAACGAAATATGGATATCAGTGAGACGTTAATAGTGTGTTTTAGTTGTTATTGATAATACTTAAAACTGTATTAAATCAGCGTTATTTAGCCGTATTAACATTGGAAGTTCTCTTTGTTATAACCGAAGTCGCGGACGTATTGCGTACACAGTTGCTAGTCTGCTGGTTGCCTTCGATGAGCCAGCCCGAGTAACTATGAACGGGCTGCTGGCCCAACCATGGAAATCGTATCGAGCCTAATATTTTTTCGACTTCTTCGAGTTGTACAATAAAATGTCGTTGTATCTGATTTATTAGTAAAAGCCTATCACGAGTAATTAAATCGATAATTAGATAACGATCTCATTCTCTTTATTATAAAAATAATTATATTAATCTAATTTTAATCTAAATCGGAGTATCCCTCATTCGTGTGTAAAATGAATATTCTATTGAAATTATCACAATGATAGAAGACAGTCCCAATGCCTAAACTTTCGTCGTCGCCGTCAGCAAATATCAATTCCAACGAGGATTTATGATTCTGTGCTATCTGTTGTGATGACTTCAAGGAAGACATGATTCAATGTGTCTGTCGTGTGAACAGTGGGTTCACGAGAAGCGTGCCGGTGTTAGAAAGGGGATCGAAGTGTATTAGTGCGAAAAGTGCAACTGAACTCAGCAAGAATGAATACTTAAAAATTTTGTTTTGTCTCTTTTTCAAGACTGCACAACAATTTTTTTCGTTTTGTGACAACCATTGTATTTGTTTGATGCAGTAATTTGTGTAAGATTAATAATATTAGTAATAATTTGATTATTTTGTGCGATTTTAAAGTTTTCAAGATATGGTTATTGTTCCTTTTATACAATTTATAAATTATCCTCAAATTCTCATTCCCATTAAAATTATTTCTAATAAACAAAATTCAATGTTATCTCGTAGATTTTCACATTATTTTATGGTTACAAAACAGTAAACAAAAATTCTACTCCTGATTTTAAAGTAGCATTTAATGATTCCGTGTGAACAATGCCATAGCTATATCATTAATGCGTTTCAATGTATTTTCTGTGGTCTGTGTTGGGTTCTAATCAGCTTTTTACATTTACGAATCATGCTCAAAATAGCTTTAAACAATTTATTGGCTTGTATTAAGGTGATATTGTATTAAAAAAATAAAATAGCAACCGGCGTATGCATAGAAATTCCCAGGCCCAATGAAGACAACCAGTAGTTTCCTTCATTGGGCCAACGACACTTATTCTTATTTTTTTAATATTTACTTAACATTTCATAATTGTAACGGCTATTCCTAGATATATGTGTAGTATGAAAAGTAATATTTACATTAACGTGCACAAAACTGTAAAATTGACAAATTTGACGATTTTACGGAGCGTTTTGTTCAAATGGCCCATCGATAGGGAACCTTCCCCTACATCAGCGTCGCGTTTCCGTGGCGTTTCCAAATCCTCCCGGCCCGCTCGGTCGAATCGTCTGAATCGAGCGGCCGTTTATTAACCCCTTGACTGTGGAGGCAGAAATGTATACTAGTCGTGCCATTTTTGCGTTGGAAAAAATGTCGAATTTTCTTTATGATATTTTTACAATAAGGGTTTTCGGGGTCGCTGAATCCAAATCTGATATTAAAATTCCGAAATTCAAAATGGCGGATCCAATATGGCGGATCAAAATTAGGAAAATAATCGGATATTTGTGAAAGTGGGTATCTATATGTTTTTGGGGTCGCTGAATCCGAATCTGATATAAAAATTTCAAAATTTCAAAATGGCGGATCGACCATGATGTGTCAAAATTATGAAAATAATCAGATTTTAATGAAAGTCGGTATTTATATGTTTCTGGGATCGCTGGATCCAAATTTGATGTCAAAATTTTAAAATTAAAAATGGCGGATCTAAACTTTGAAAATCAGATTTTCATGATTTTTATAATTTTGACTCGCCATGTTGGATCCGCCATTTTTGATCTCGAAATTTTGATATCAAATTCGGATTCAGCGACTCCAAAGACATATAGATACCTACTTTCATAAAAGTCCGATTATTTTTATAATTTTGACTCGCCATGTTGGATCCGCCATTTTGGATTTCGAAATTTTTATATCAAATTGGGACTCAGCGACTCCAAAAACATATAGACACCCACCTGTATGCAAAAAACAATAGTTTGACTATTTTTTTTCTTCGATGCGTGTATACACGTCATCCACACTGGTGGCACGACTTTTTTATGCGGCTATACCCGTCATCCACAGTCAAGGGATTAAGGGGACTGGAGGGTCAGATTACTGAAAAATCGTGCTTGTTTTTTGATAATATTTTCTGACGAACTGAATAAATGTGCAAGAGTGAAAATTTTTTATATATTTATATAATATATGAAGAGCAGAAAAATTTTGTTTATTAACAAATATTCACATAAATATATGTCCACTTAAATTTTAAACGCGTTTCTCTCGAAATTTAAAAATTTCTAAAGCTAAAATTCGCTCTGATCGGACCACCGAGAGCCGAGCCGATATTACTGCAAAAACGACAAAACGACTTGAGAAAAAAGAAAGGAGAGTATATTTCAGCTAGATATATCATATATCGTATATTTATATGAGTATTTATTAATAAACGAAATTTGTTCTACTCTTCACATGTTGTATAAATATACCTAAAATTATCATTCTTGCACATTTATTCAGTTCATCGCAAAATATTGTCAAAAACAAGCACGATGTTTCAGCAATCTGCTGACCCACCAGTCCCCTTAACGAGACTTCTCGCCGCCAGCCGAGCGGTCGAATGCAAAGAAGACGAGAAATAGTCTCGCAGGCGGTTCTGATTGACGCAAAGAGTATTAATTAACCGTTGCACGAAGGCGGCATTAATGCGGCGAGATTGACGGTCAGTGACCTATTTGCGAGCAGCCAGGTACGGACGTCGGCCGCGTCGTTTATTTCGGTTCGCTTGATAGCGCGCGATTCGGATCGCAGTAATTATTTGTATTCAAATGGGACAGGCAGATTAGATTAACGCGCACCTGCGCCGCGGAGGAAGTGTCGCGGGTAGACTCTCGAGTCTTTTGCGGAGCGAGCTGCGTCTTACGTTCACATCGCTTATTAATCACGGCAGATTAATCGATCGCGGATGCGGACTCGAAGTCGCGAGGGGAAAAAGATTGTTCCTGCTTGAAAGACTGAAAACGTGTCGAGAGAGAGAGAGAGAGAGAGAGAGAGAGAGAGAGAGGGAGAGAGGGAGAGAGAGAGAAAGAGTACGAAGGAGATTAGATTCGCCGCAAAGGTGACAATAGAAGCAAAGCAGGAGGGATTGCGTAAAGCGCGCAGGTCACGAAGTGTGTGTCGTCGGAATAATTCGGACACGTCACGGCAACAATAAAGACAGACCTAATCCTCGCCATTAGCGTAGGGTAAAGTAGTGGGAATTCAATAATATGTCACTTCCTGCAATTACCGTAATACCCGGCATCACCGGCAACCGTCGGGTAAATTCATTCGCGGTTCGCAAATTCGCACGGTCGTCCTCCCGTGTGACGTAAGTCGGTTAGTAAATAAGCACTGCGTTTACCTGCGAAACCGGCGCGGATTCGTCATGTGCGCTTTCCGATGACACAGACTGCGAGCACAAACTGTGACACGCCGCGTCACTCTCCGTACACCGCTGTGTCACCGGAATTAGCACAAGTTCGCGAGATCACTTCGCTTCATCCGGGCATGTCTGTGTCGCGTTTACGACTTCCACATCATGCAATTTATGGAAAACCTCGCAACAACACCCTACAGAATATTCTGCATACTGCATACATTTGCGCTGTAACTCTGTCGGCAGACAGAGAAATGAAATCGTGCTTTTTTTTTTACTTGCTCGTGGATAATAACGAGCGTTAATGAGACCAACGAACGTCGAATTGCTGTTTAGTGTGCGTCGCACAGCCGTATAAGCCGATATAGATCTCGCGTCGCGAGATGGCCGATTCGCGTGTACAAAATTGCATCAATCAATCTTTGACTTTTGTACAATACATTTTGTAATTTTGTATACACGCGAATACGCGCGCGCGCGCGCGCGCATGCGCATGTATTCGTCGCGTGTCAGTTAGTTATATCGCAAAGTTACGCGATATTTTCGTATACAAAATTACCCGACATTTCCCGGCGGAGCGACACGCGCTCGCGGGGAAAGCCGTCGCCCGCGTTATATTAGTTTGATTGGCGCGTCGCAATCAAGCGTGGATCTATGGGAGCTTGAGAAACCCGGCTGTGTAGGTAATCCGTTGCGCAACCAGGCAAATTGATCTCGGGGAAACTTGCGAAACTGTGTCAATGACACGTTTCCCATTTTTTTCTCTCTCTATCTCTCTCTCTCTCTCTCTCTCTCTCTCTCTCTCTCTCTCTCTCTCCCATGATACGAAGTCCCCCTTAGGAAGTAATTAGACGCGGCGCGCACCGGTACCTTGAGTTTTCAATTTGCAATTCTCGGGATCCTTCGCAGCCGCAAGGATGCCGCAATTATTCACGCGTTGTACGTTCTCGAGGAGGAAATCGCGCGCGACTTAGCCGCGAAGAAAGATTGATTAATCAGGCGCCGGTAAATATTCATATGGCGATGAAAAGAGCGACGAGGAAGAAGAGAGTTCTTTGTTTTAGTTTCTTCTTCCCATATTCAACCGGGCGATTTCGGCGGTTTTTTTATCGCCGGGAGAGATCATGCGACAAACCTCTTTCCGTTCTCTACGCGTTCCAAGTTTGGCATTTTGGCTGGAGCAGCGAAATTCGATTCCTCCGGTCGGACACGAGAGCCACACCGCAAAGCGTCCTTACATTCCACGTAACGCTGTGAACGCTTTCCCGTTATCTGCCGGGCAAAGTAATTATAGATATGAATGTTGCTTATCGCAAGCTTAAAAACATGCTAAACGTACAGTTATACAATAATTTTTATCACTTGCGCCAGTCACCCGCCCAGTTTCGCAACTCGTGTCTCTTTCCTCGGGTTCACCTTCGCCGCTTTATTGTTCCACTTTATTGTTCTGGGAAGGAACGACGGAGATTTTATGGGCGGCGGAGATCTTCGCGTAGCGCAAGATCAGCAGAATCGTCGAATCTCGAAGACGAGATTATTACGCGAGCAGAGAGATTACCCGCGTAATAAAATCCTCCTCGTAAAAACAGATTGACGGGCCGCGAACTTGCTCCGATCACGTCGGTACTTTTGGTGCTGCTTTCACTTTGCCGGGTCTTGCGGCCGGATGTGCGGTCTCTGCGTCGCCCGCATACTTTCTCTCCACCTCGCGAGATAACCCGAAGGAACTTTCCGACGATTTTGCCACGCTGCCGCTCTTTTTCCTTTTCGTTCACCGGCCACGTGGCTGCGCCTTCCACGACCTGTCCTTCGCCGATCCTTTTCCTCGCAGCATCCAAAAGTCTCGAGTTTCTGTCACATCAGCCGCACGCGCGCGCGCGCGCGCGACCGATCGTCTGGACGCGGGTACGAAGGCAGCGGGCGGGGATCGGGAAGAGTTCGGGAAAAGTTAGCGTGCTTGAAATTCCGAAATGGCGGGAAGCCCCGGGTTGAGCAGTTCGACAGGTGCTGGTCGTCGGTACATTAGATCGGGGCACCGCGATGAACTAAACGGCGCGCGGCGCGAAAGCCGCGAGCAAGCTACACTTTCGATTTTGACTCCCTCCTACGGACACCTTCACCGATGCTGACCGGAGGTTGCAGGCGAATCGCTTCATACGCGCGCGTACATGTAACCTCTATTTTCCCCCTTCCTCCGTTATGTTATCATAATTTGCCCGCCGCTAGGAGACTGGCGATCGCCGCCAGTGCGACGAGGAACAACGCGACGACAGGAGCACGCGATCAGACGGACTGACCGCTCCAGATAGAGATCTGCGAACTATTCGAATTCGAATCCGAATAATTCGAATAGGAATCAAATACATTATCGTTTGCGCGTACATCAGCTACGAGGCTACAGGCCATCTGGGCCTGTATGTTTGAACCCTTAACTTGTAATTAACTTATTATAATTATAAATTACTTTAATTATTTAAATATATATTTTACTTTAAGATGATATTACAACATCAATATTCCCTTTCGTAATTAAAATCTTCCATCATTATTTGCATGTTTAATAGTCATGTTAAATTTTTTTTTTGATTCGCGATTCGAATTCGCCAGTGAAATTTCATAGACTCGATTCGATTCGACATAAAAGTTTCTTGACTCGCGCATCTCTACCGGTAGACTACGCTTAATGATCTTGCAAAATCTCGGACGGAACGGCGAAGCGGTGTTTTCATCGTGGGATTCGCGGGGAGACATTACGGCCGGGTTAAAAGAGGCATACTTTTTGCTCGGATTTTTGCCCGGTTGCCGATACAATCAATCGTGCGTTCGGTCATTCGTCTTCTGATCGTACACGCTACATGGCGAAACAAGGACCTCGTCAAGATATTCGCAGTATAACGGATACTTCTCGTGTCCATGACGCGATAATAATCCGTTCGAAACGTCGAGACGGCTTGATATCCCCGTTTTTACATTTTTCATGAGATTTTACATCGAAGTATCGACTGCGCTCCGATTTCCTCTTATCGAAAACTGATAAAGCGTACTGTCTTCCAAGGTATCGGTAAATACACGTTACGATCGTCCTCGCATAACTTCCCTTTCCTCTCGGATTTTCCACTCTCCTCGGATTAGTTATTCCGCAGTACGACATTTAACTCTTCGCGGTTCTCTTTATGCGCGTCGAGACTACCTCGACGTCGTCTCTCGTTTCGACCGATCGCTCTTCTTTCATAAGCGATTTTAACTTGTTACTTATCGCATAATGCTTGTTTGGCCGAGTTTTGCTCAATTTTAGCGAACAAGGGTAAAGTAAAACTGAAAAAACAAATAAGCTTTAAATAATACATTGATACGTTAATTAATAAATAATAAATACATTAAACTCTAATTCAAACGCGACAATGTCGCCAGACGCTACCGAGTAATTGTACACAGAGAGAACGATTTTTGTTGAATCTAACAAATGCTTATTTGGAATAGTCCAAATAAATTTTTTGATTGATCGAACGAAGTTTTGTTTGACACAACAAAAATATTTTGTTTTGCAGCTTCGTTCCGACGAAATGTTTTTGTTGCGTCAAACAAAATTTTGTCCGATCAATCAAAAAATTTATTTCGACTATTCCAGACAAGCATTTGTTAGATTCAACTAAATCGTTCTCTCTGTGTACGTGGATTGTCTGGAAAGAAATGTCAGAGATGACTCAGCGGCTAAATGTGCAATGATATGTCTCGTAAACGTTCGATTATCTCACATGAAATGCAAAATCCTCTTAATTTCACTTCATCGACTATTTTATAACTTGAGGTACACGCGATCGCGACAAGTGCTCGGTGTCATTGTCAAGTTGCTGTCAAGTTCGATCGAAGAATTTTTCGACGGCGATTTACGGCGTCTTTCATCGTTGCACAGGCGATACCACTTGTGGTTTGTGGCTTTGTTCGTTGTTCTTTTTTTTTTTCTCTTTTTAACTCGTATCATAAATTAGCTAGTATCATAAATTATATATTAGGGGCCACTTATATTGACGTGCACGCGAGATAGAAAATACGAGTGCGCAGTGCGCATAATGTGCAGATAAAATTCTCGGAAGAATTAACGTGGCTTTGCCGCGCAGTGAAGTTGTGAAAATCATCATTTCAGTCTGAAACTCAACATTACTTTTTCAGTCTGAAACTTACAACACGCAAATTTGGATACGTACGCTACGAAATACATGGCTTTGGTCTAAAGTGCAATTTGGAAGTAAGACAAAGGTAAAATTATACGCGCGAGTATGCAATTAGAAGTGAATACATTATCGCATGCGATGCATCGCTACGTCAGCCATCGCGGAAGGATAATAACGACGAAACACTTGAGCCATTATCTCGTCGATGAAGCGTCGATAAAACCAATCGGTTGCGAATTTCATTAACTATTTTTACATCTTAGTTATCCCGCTCCCGTCTCCTCATGTCTCACAATGCGACCTCTCGATGAGATCGATTTAGGATGGCGTAAAAGGAGGACAACACGCTCCGACTTGTTGTCACATCGTAACGCCCGCGAGTAAATACGGGGGGATGATCGCGAGCGATGCACTGCGCTCAAATTGTTTGTTACTCGCGATTTATTCTCGTGATTTTGCATACGCGAGAGAAAAATACACAGATTCCTCTTTCTTCCGGTAAACGCCAGTCGCAGATTGATTCGCGGACGGGCTTCACGACTGACGCGCAAAAATCTCTTCTCGCTCGCACGCACAAAAAATCAGCTTTTAAGAATGACGTTGATCATCATCATAGACGTCTGATCGCGGATTACTGAGCCGCGGCTGTCGATCTCTTCGTCGCTATAGCTTCGAATAGCGGCTGATTTACGACGATGATTTACGCGCTCGTTAGTCCAAATTGAATGCATATTCCAGTGGGGAATTAAAGATATAAAACTGCTCGCGGATCATCGCCGATAAGACCGCTCTGCTTACTGGACACGGACGATCCTCCCTCTCTCTCTCTCTCTCTCTCTCTCTCTCTTTCTCTCTCTCTCTCTCTCTCTCTCTGTCTCTGTCTCTGTCTCTGTCTCTGTCTCTGTCTCTGTCTCTGTCTCTGTCTCTGTCTCTGTCTCTGTCTCTGTCTCTGTCTCTGTCTCTGTCTCTGTCTCTGTCTCTGTCTCTGTCTCTCTCTCTCTCTCTCTCTCTCTCTCTCTCTCTCTCTCTCTCTCTCTCTCTCTCTCTCTCTCTCTCTCTCTCTCTCTCTCTCTCTCTCTCTCTCTCTCTCTCTCCCTCTCTCTTGTGAATTTTGTTACAATCAACGAGACACAACATATATATCGCATTAAAGCAAATATATCGGATAAAGGAGAGCAAAGATATCGGGCAAAAATATAACCGTTATAAACTTAAACCAAAGCAAACGAGACATGCGACAACTTCAGTAATCTCTCTTAATAATGCTAGTGATGTTTGCGTACACATTGTATATGCACACACACACACACACATACACACACACACACACACACACACACACGCGCGCGCGCGCGCGCGCGCGCATATGTCCACGTCCGATTGGCATAATTTCTCAAATTTGCATACATAAATAATTCATTTCAACACGATTGACGAGAATTCGACCGTGTTACCGTGCGCGCTCGTATAAAAGATGAGATGCATCGATAGATTGAAGACGCGCCGAGGATTTGTGTCGCGCTAATTGCAGATCGTGTCGATCGCAAAGAGGAAAAGACACACATCCGTTCCGCATTATAATATCGTTCATGTAACGGTTCATGTAATGCTTCAGGTATCGGGAGAGAGGAGCTTAGGAGGATTTTGCATTGATCACGCGGCGATTGCTCGATCGGCGATTTTTCGCCTTGGACGTTTAAATTTCTTCGCGGCGCGCGATACCAGGAACGGTCTCGGGACGGTCTCTAAACGGTACGACGATGACTGAATAAATGACAAAGTCGGATGTGTATTAAACATGACAATTTATTTAGAACAATATATTTTGCTGATCAGTATGTATGTACCTGCGTTAAATTAATTACATAAATAGAAAGATCACACGGATTCTCGTCTCATCTAATTACAATCGCTCGTCAGGCGACAGCTCGACAGGGTAGTAACATTGTTTCTCTCCCTCCCTCTCTCTCTCTCTCTCTCTCTATCCCTCCTTTCTCTAGTCTAGAAAAAAACCTTCTGCCCTCTTCGTTTATTTCCTATTGATACGATCGAATTACGCGGTGTCTCACGACGTAGAAAGTTGCTTAGGAAAAATATATATGTCTATACGCATTGCCATCTCTCTCGATAGCTCGATAATCGTACATTCGCTAGCGTCTCTTCGCGTAGAACATTCGAAAATAAAATTTTTATCAATAAAAATTGTGTGTATATATATATATATATATATATGTATATGGTACATTCAGTCTAAAACGCGATTGACCCGCGAGCAGTGGCGCGACGGGTGATTCGTGGCCGGTCGCGAAGGATTCGCCAACGATCTTTCATCGTCGATAATAATTTTTGGTAAGACAACATTATTCTCTCTCTCTCTCTCTCTCTCTTTCTCTTTCTCGATAAAGAGGAAATCTGATCGCGCGATTCCAATTGACGCGTTATCCTCGTTATCGCTCGCTATCGCGCCAGTGTTACTCCTGGGTTAAATTTCACTATTCGCGATGTTCAACTGCATGAGAGCATCGCGCTCACTCGCGGAAGGAGTCGACGTATATGCGTTTAATCTCAATAGACTTAATCTAGAGTTCCTTCTGATGCGCGCTAAGCAAGCAGGATTCGCCGTACACGTTCCTTGGCCAGTCAACACTTTTCCACTTGCAGGCGAGAAAGTAGAATAATGTATATAGCGTACCGAAACGCGCATGTCAAACACGCTCTTTCGAAGGGCCGACCGGATTAGCTAACTTCGAACATTCACCCGTGCGTCGTTACTACGCTCGTCCGGTAATCCGGTAGAACTGCCGTGTCGAGTAAAGCAAAAGAAAGCATACTTGTATCACGTACATGCTGATTCTCAAACGTTGCACACTATCGTATATAAAATAGGTCGCGTACAAGGTAAAAAAAGCACGTCACTTGGTTCCAAGTAACGATTTTCCCGTTTCTAAGGAGTCGTTTCTAAGAGATTACTACGTAAACTGAAATGTGTCGCGTGTTATGACGCCTGAAATGATGCGAAGATGCGACGACGATGAATAGCGATATCCAACCGAGTGGAATTCAACGGAAAAGAGGACTTTTGGTTGACATATACTTAGTCTCTCTCGGCCCTGAACGAATTAATTATAACTTACACTCGGTGGTCGGTTGACGCGAGATGTATCTAAAAATTTCTCTCCGATTTCTAACGATGTATACCGCGAGACATTAAAAACCCACTTAATTAAACATAACAACAAGTACTTCGTACTTAAAGATAATTGATACGCCGTGTCACTACATAAATATAAAGCGAGACACATATCGCCAAATTCTGGACATTAAACAGGAAAAAAAAACTAACTTCTCTTTCAAATTAGATTTACTTAAATATGTACCACATAATGAGGAATAAAATTCTTTCAATCTCTTTTTGTCATAATCGCTCACATTGATTATTTCACCTGCTTTTTCGCTATGAAAATGGAAGTGACGGATACGATAAAGGCACTTTCAAAACCTAACGTATACCACGTCGGTCATTTCTCATTGTTCATCTTATCCATAGAATATAACGTTTGTCTACGAAAACTCATCCAGATGAAAGCTTTTGCTGTGATCGAAAAGCAATGTTTTAATAAATAAACTAGACGTCAAGGGATCCGATGATTTCAAGAGGCGAAAACAAATTTCGCAATTTTTATGACTTTTATGATCATAGAAGACTGTTCTTCTCGACCGAACTAGTGCTGCAGTGGAGCCTTTCGCCCTTTTTTCCTTTACCCTTAGGTTGTATACTTGTCTCATTCTAACGGAGAAAAAATATAGATCTTATAATTTCTATGACTCTTACACAACTCCCATAACTTCACGCTCATTTACTAGATACAAAAATTTAAAACTAATTTTGTCGCGCAAACTTATAACTATCTGACGTAGATACAACATTTATTCTATTTCTAAATCATTGAACCGTTTCTACTTTTTGAATCAAATTTGCTGTTAGAAGTGTCAGTTTTCGCGTGTTCGCACAGTTAAATTGCCTTATGCCGCGTTAGAATGCACCGTTTTAACAAATGCTACGCTAACATGATGTTATTTGAAACGTAAAAACGTAGAAACGTAAAAAAGGGTGTTTAAATAAAAGAGCGCTCTTACATTATATAATAAAGAAAAAGCTAGTAGACATTCCAAGATAAAGCACAGCCACTAAACATGTTAAAAATTAAAAATTATAAATGAAGAGAAATTATTAATAATTATTTAATTATTAACAATTGCTTCAGTGCTCAGTGCCCGATATTTTAAATTATTTCTTTCTCTTCTTCGTTTCGATAATTTTATAATTTTATAATTTATAATTTTATCAATGTAAGAGGCAACATTTTTAGGAATACATTTGTAACTGCAATGTACAGCTCTTTCAATCCTCTTTGTTCGTATTTCGCACTATTAATGTCGGCAGTTTCCAATAAAAATTGTAAAACACAGTTATACCGGATAAAAAAAAGAAATATTTCAACAGAGAGAGATCGGTTTCACGAAGTCGTACATTCTAAAATGTTCGTAATGTGATCGAAGACACGAGCTTACATCGAAAATATGAATCACTCTTCAAAGAATGTGAATATATATAGTATAAAAGTCTACATTTCTAAGACCTAGACTAAAAAAGAAAAAAAGGAAATATAAGACACATTTCTCTCTCTCTCTCTCTCTCTCTCTCTCTCTCTCTCTCTCTCTCTCTCTCTCTCACTTTTTCTCTCGGGTGATAATGTTAAACAAAGAGAAACCACTATGTACATGTGCATACGGAGAAATTAGTCCATCTTATCGGAGACCAATGGAAATCTGACTATTCTCAACTGCCGACCAAAGTCGCAAACGACGCTGTCCCTCAGCGCCAGCATTTGTTTCACAAAAATGCAACTATCTTTATGACCCAATCTCACTTCCCGTACTGGTTCACCCGTTCTCACGTCCCAGACCACTAATGATCCCTGAAATATCGTCAATATTTAATCGAATGCAAGCTTAATCTCTTATCTATCGCGGTAAAAAAGAACTCCAGCACTGAGAATACCTGATTGCTGGTTATGAGAAGGTGATGCGTCAACATTACTAGTTGTAAACTGTAAGCTGCTCTGTGTGCCGGCAACGTATGCAGCAAGTGACCCTGGAAGCGTTCCCATACGCACAATCTTTCATCCGTGCCGATACTTATCACATATGACACGGAACACGTCGCAGCAGCTATAGCACCATCGTGGGCTTGAATACTATACACGCATGTTCCTGTGACCAAAAAAAAAAAAGAAATATCGCAGGATTTAATAATTGCAACAATGACCGTCTTTTTACCCAATCGACATTGTTAGAGACAGACACAAGTCGCTACTACTAAAGCTACTACTAAATAAGAGCCCTGAGATTTGTGGAGACGTTACCTGTTCTCCCATTGAGCTCCCACACGCACAACGATCCGTCTTGAGACCCACTACCGAATGTTGAGGAACATAACCTGTCGATGAAGAGGCACGATATTGGGCCCAAATGCCCGTGGAAAGTGTACTCAAGCCGCTGATCCTCTAAACTAGATGCGACAAGGGGGAAAATATAAAGCGATCCTCAGTGAAAGGGAACCTACATATTTTCCTATATACACATACCTATGTACTTTCAAGACATGATCTTGGCTACCCGTTATAACGTGCCCGTGATCGCTGTCTAGAACGGTGATCACCTGCTGATGCGCTCTCTGCGTACCAATTTTTATGCAACGCAGATCTTCCTCTGTCTGCATACCGTTGTTCAGATCCATGGGCGAACCGGCGCTACCCGTTCGCACATGAGCTAAAATGACACGTTAATTAAGTACGACAAATGTAGGATCAATGTAGGTTACAATTGTTCTCCAGTATTTTTAAACTACGGTTGTGCTTTTATTGTACGTATTATCAATCTCGAAACTGAAACACTCGCGCGATTCTATTCGTGACGATCGAGTCATCAATAGTGGGTGGTAGCATAGGAATAATCTGCCATATTTTCAAATTTACTTACTTCTTCTGTAAGACGTAAAACCCCAATCGATCTGATGGCCTTCGCTGTAGCTCTCGAGCTGTAGAAAGTCGAGGGTGCCGTTCAGTTTGGCCGCGACTACTCTGCTGCCGATCAGCTTGACAGCGGTGATCCCAAGTTCTGATCCATCGTCGAATAGACACTAAATCACAAAGGAATTACGGAGTAATTAATTTTCCTAGACGACGTACTACTCGCATCGCGGGCGACATTGATTATTCCAAAGTCTCTCACCTTGAATCTACCAGTCGTGCCCTCCCAAAATTCTAGACTGCCGTTGGCGCATCCCACCACTATAAGATTCTCTTGATAATCCATACACCAAATCGCGGATATGACGTGCGACATTCGCGTCACTCTATCGGTATTTATGGAGGACGCGCTGTCGACCAGACCGCGGTTGCTCGGTCTGGCGGTAACAGGTATGCTCGGTTGCTCTCTATTTCTGGACATTTGTATCTCTTCGAGCAGCCTGTTGTGCTTCTCCAACAAGGCTCTGTAGCGTTCCCCAAAATCGAAGCCTTGATCGTAATTCTGTTGGTTGGGTGTAAATTTCATCGATGAGAATTTGACGTCGACCGTTGACTTGAGATCGGGGATATCGTAGGTGCTATCCAGACTCCGACGTAGCCAGACTTGCTTGCCGCTGGGCATTTCGTTGATTTGATACTCGTAGTCCAAGGTGTTTGGTATAGATCGTCGCTTGTGGTGGTTGTTGTTATTGTTGTTGCTGCTGCCGTTAATTCCTTGTGCGTTGTAAGCGGGAGACAGCTTGCGCTGATATATCCCCGAGGTCGGCATGTAAAGTATCATCGAATTGGTCGCTTCCATCTCCCCCCTGGATGGCGGCGAGCCGCTCTCGTAGTCCGACATGAGCTCGTCCGCGTCCGGCGAGGTGTGACTCGGGATCTTCTGCGGGCTGCTGAAGAATTGCCGTCTGTCGATATGCGCCAGTTGCTCGCCCGAGATCGAGTCCCACACTCTGATGTGTCCCGCCAGACACGTGCTGGCGATGGTGTTACCATCGGTCGCTATGCACTCCACTTCCTGCGTGTGCCCTTCGAGCACCAAGGGCACCGCCTCTAGCACCAGCTGAGTGACCGAGTCTTGCGTCTTGTCTTGCTTATGCCAGCTGGTCCGCCACTCCGCGTAATTTCGAGAGCAGATGCAACGATAGAGCACGACCATCATGTACGCGACGACGATGACGCTAATGAGACACAGCAGAGCGGCCAAAAATATCTCCATCGGACTCGATGGTACAAAAGGCGCATCCGTATTAAACACGCGTCCCTCTGATCTGGACGGTACCTCCATATCTAAAAATAAAGAGAAGTGCGGAAATTAATGAAGCAACGGCCGGCTGAGCCCAGAGCACAAGAGGGCTTTTCACGAAGATATTTACGAACCAGAGAAATCGAGAGGATCGAACGCGGCGGTGGCGAGACTCTGCCATTGGAAATGCTGAGCATCATTTGGGTTGCTAATCTGCTTAACAAATTGCGGATTCATTGCGTGTGACAGTTTGATCGCCGGTAATATAGTCACCCGGCCGCCGGCGATCGAGACGTTGTACATCGCTAAGATCGAGGACCAATGATATAGCGACAGACGATTCCAAGGTGGAAAATTGACGGGTTTTAACTTGTTCAGTTCCTCAGTAGCATTGTTGATCAGGTCCTGAAAACAAAAGTCTTTTCTTCCTTTTCCCTCTAAAGAATACGTGCAGTGCAAGCAGCAAGCAAGCAGTGCGAGAACGCGAAAGGTTTACCTGTTCGTTAAGATGAGCGGGGTTGATGGTGGCGGTTGGCACAGAAACAGGCGTGACAGTGTTTAATTCGACATAATTGCTCAATGATTGAGGTCGGTCTATTGTATAGCCGTCAATGTCACTTTCTGGTTTCAACGTTTCGCTCAGATGTATCAAGTGCTCGACGATGCCAGAGTCATAGATGATTGTGCTGATCCACACGACCATGTACACCATGAACATATGTTGAAAGATACGTGTGCGTGCCCAGAAATTCACCAGTCTCAAGCGCTTTGGGATCTTGCTCGTTGTATGAGTGTTTTGTGTATTCGGAGCGATGACGTTGGTTGGACCGGCGTATAAGCCGTTTAACTTGGGATGAGACTTTGAGCGGAATATGTGAGGCTTTCTGTTGGTGATGGTGGTGGTGAATTGTTGTTTGCGCGACGTTGGAATGTGCGATAAGTGAAACTTGGCCGAGTTTTCGCTGGACAGTACCGTCCGTCGGATATCAATCGCCAGGACCGTCGAGTAGAATACCATTTGCAAGAAGAAGTCACTCACTAGTCCGATCATGGCGGATATGCAGAACTTTTGAATAACGGGCACAAAGGTGAACAGTCCGATGGTGAAGATTGTCACTTCCTTCAGCAGGGTCTTCGTGATGGACCATCCCTCCTTCGACAGACCCTGCGCGAAGCGTATCTTCACGTCCAAGTGCGCGGGTATATTGATGACGCTCTTGGTCAACACCAGCACGTTCTCGAGGCTGACGATCATCAGGTGCGGCAGCACTTCTTTGTAGCTCATGCTGAGAGTTAGACCAAAGAAGAAGCACACACCCATAGTCATAGACAGAGAGCCCATCACTGTCATGCTAGCACTGAAAGCGATGCCAATTTTCGATTTCAGCAATTCTATTTTCCGCACTGAGTAATACACGTAGAAAAATATCACGAGTAAAGCCATCGCTAACGGGAAGAACTCGAAATAGTTGAATTCCCCGGGATAGAAGACATGCAGCATCTCGTCTTGCGCGTCCGCAATCGTGGCATTATCGACGTTCTGGTGAAGTTTGTAATAGCTGTTCAGTTGTTGCTGCAATCCCTTTATAAATCTAGAAATGAGAAACGGCACGAGCGCGCGTGTTAATATAATATAATCGTATTACAGTTTACAAGTACTTACTCGTGATCATATTCCTTCAAATATATAGTGACAGCGTATTGGAGAACTCTCTGGCGAATCCGGATAGGATATCTCTTTACGCCAGTTTCCTTCAGGTTCATTCCAAACATCACTTCTGCGAGACTTATTTTACCTTTTTGAAAATTCTGCAACAATATAAATGCACACATCGAAAGAGAAGTGAATTATTGTCAACGAGTATATTCGTAAGGAAGAATGGCGTGTTTACCTGATAAGAAAATATTGTATTGATGAGATTTGTATCTTGAGAGAACAACTCTATACTTTGCTGCCAGAGATTTGCGGGTGACAGCACAAGGCAATTGTATTCTGGTAGAACCTCTGGTTTCTTTCCATTTCTCTTCTTCACTGCTTCAATGTGCAGGCACACTTGGCCCAGTGTCTTCAGTCTAAAAATCAGCGGTATCTCATTTTACATTCCCAGCTTTTTAACGTTGTCACTAGTACGCTGTCGCATACTAGTTAGTGACTACAAACTCTAAACTCGCCCAAGCGAGACCCAAGTGAGATGCACCATAGATACTTACGTATCTGGGTGTTGATAATTCTGTATAATTTCCAAGAGATTGAACACCTCGTACAGAGGCCCTCTGAAGGCGTCCATGAGCGTCAGATCTTCGACCCAAGGTACCACGCCGATCCTGAGCACTACTTGCTGAACGTACAATACTGAAGTTTCCGTGCCATTGACTGGTATAACAGTATGGTTAATCACGGTCTTCGGGACGTTGCCCGGCATGGGCAGATTGAGAAGCGGATAACTGCAACAGTGTTATTTTCAGTAACGCAGCTCCAACTCGATGATTGTGTACAACATGCGTGACTAACCAGCACATCATGATAACCGATAGCGCTAATGAGATTGTGGTGAAAGGATGGGACGAGAGGAACAGGCCGTGGGCATAGTAGGCCCCGGCCACCCTGTCCGGCAAACTGCGAGCCATTTCACCTACGTCCGTCCGAGTGACATCCCCCGATTAGTAACGATCGCACCACTGCCGGCTGACCTGGTAACATCGAGTTGGCGCTTCGTAGTACAGGAGCGAAACGTGACACAACGGTAGCCGCGTAAGATAGGTTATGGCAAGCAGAACAAAAAGACGCACATATTTTTCTTCGATTATCGCCGTTCGTCATTGCGCAACTGACGTATCGCACAGATTCAACCGTCAGGCTGAAACGTCATCTGCCTCCACATGGAGACTCGCAGTCCCACGTTTATGCGACAAATATACGCGTTCACTTATCCTCGCGTAGGTTAGAAGTTAACTGATAGCATCGCACTTTTACATCGCGCACGTTATTAAAGAAACGCGCGGCGAAAGAGCGGTGCGCGCTGCGCTACCACGGAGATGATCCTCATCTCTCAGTCGTCTCTCCGACTCGACGCTCAGCTCGTCCTAGGCAAGCAAGAGCGAAAGAGACACCCACGTCTCGTTACGGCTCTCTCTCACTTACAGCATATCCTAGTCTCCACCGCGCTTCATCGTCGACGTTCTCCACGATGCGCCATGGTCGAAGAAGTCGACGACGGATCGCCAATCGGTCGGATCGCGCGCGCGGATGTTCGCGCAATCACGACCTGTCCGCTATCTGCTCTCCGAGGAAACGTCGCGACGCACGTTTCGACAGAGTGGCGTCTGTCTCTGTGTATGTGTGTGTATGTGCGCACCTCACTCGGTCGCGACCGCGACGCAAAAAGCTGATGAGTGCGATGGGCGACAAGGGTCGCTCAAACGCGGCGTGAAAAAGGCGATGGCGAAACGGCCGAGTCACACAATGACGAAGACACGAGATCGCGCGCAAAACCCAGCGACTTATTGGAGGTTAGGTTCGTCCGTTCTTGCGCGGCGGAGCATTAGCGCGCAGTACGCAGGTTACTCGCAGGCTCCACCGGGGTAGGGACGGCCTGGCGACGTACTTGTTATTTACTCGCGACGCGAACCGCTCGTGTCGAACACGAGCACGTGTCTGTCTGTGAGCGCGTCATCGCGCACGCAACGAGAACTGCGAGCGAGCGAGCGAGCGAGCTGCGGGGATACGCGGTCGCGTACGCACGATTGACGAAGACGAAAACGAAAACGGACGATCCACCGTACGTCGTGCGCGTATTTCACACATGTACACGCACGCACGCACGCACACGCGATGCGCACGAACGACGACTGCGCTTCGGCCCGGCCTTTTAATCCCGGAGTGCAGTGGCCGTTTCAATCGCAGCCGAGTCGAGTCGAGTCGAGCCGCGCCGCACCGCGCCGCGCGACACGTAGAGAGACGTAGAGACACGGGCTTTCATTTATTTTTAAACGAGCCCGAACGTGCCTCCGCCGAGCCCCCGTCCGCCGACCAATCGCAGGTGAGAACGTGCGGCGCGCGCGGCACGGCAGTCACCGCCACGTTGTCGCATGGGCGACCGAATGCACGTGGCGCAGGAAAAGGCAAGTAAAAAAGGGAGCGTGATGCACGCGAGGACGAAGCGACGCGGCGCAGCGCAGCGCGGAGAGAAAAATCACCATCTGACCGGGGACGACTGTGACGCGTAACTAACTTACGCGTTTGCTCGGCGAGACGCGCGGGCGCGCACCCGGCTGATCCGCGCGTGACCGTATGCATAAAATCGAGAGAACGCCCGTGTGCTTCTGACACCGTCGAGAAAAAGAAGAAGGAGAAGCGTAAGAAAAGGAAGGATAAACGGTTTATTCCTTCACCTGGCATGATACGGAGCGCGTGGATAGCGCACGGTATGTCTTCCCCTCCCCCCCCCCCATGAATATTCTGTGCAGCGTCCGATACACTCTGGCGCGAGGGGAATTATTCGGGGCGACGATATCGTTCGGCTTTTTCTCTTCTTTCTCTTTTCTCTTTCTTGTTTTTTTCGTCCTTCGCGTTTTTCATCGCCGCTTTCGTCGGCTGCTCGCGGCGCGACCTTCAGTCAGCGGAATTAGCAGATCGGCTTTTTTCACCTCGAGCAGAAAGAAGTGTGTTGCACGTTTCGTTTTTCGTTCGACCCTGGAGCGAGCATGTGGACGGTACGTGTCGGACAGCGTTTTCTTGATCGTTATCTCATCGTGACGACGATTCGCGTGCGCGATTTGATCTTCCGCGACGAAGTGACTACTGTCATGCTGAACGAGCCATGCGGGAATAGAGTGCGCGCGAGATATTTAAAAGCGCTTCTCACAGGTATCGCTTCGACGGCGCACGCGGTGCGCCAACGCGCCGGTTTGTGTTACTGGTTGGCACGCCTGAGTCGAGTGTCGTGGGTATAGAAGTCCGGTCGAGCGATATGTATCGTTGTGAGGTGTTGTTGCAAGGTTGCGATGAAGGATTTGAGCAGCGAAGAAGCAGAGGCGAGAATTCAGATGCAAATGGACAAAGATGTCTGCGTTTCTTAAATTTTGGCACAAGGACGTCACACACCAGCATAGATCAGAATCCTACACGCAGTCTGCACTTATCGCACAAGTCCCTCTTCACAATTGTTAACGTCTGATATCTATTCATTATTCGAACGCATGCATAATCAATGAGTGCTGGGAAAAAAATATGTAACTAGTCTTGCGCATAGTATAGAGTAGGAAAAAAGTACCGCCGAAAGTTCCATAATAGATTTTTATGCTTCGTATTTGGCAAAATATAGATTTCCATACACTGTGAAGGTCAAAAGATGCATTCGAATGACCGAAGAGTCTGGACAATTTCGAAAAACTGAGCCTCGAAAATTTGCCTCGCGACGAAAGGTGTGTCACGAACCTGTCGCGTTCACTCATACTTAGCCAACATTTTTTCGCAAATTTATCCTTTACGGATTCTCTCTCTTTCTCTCTATTCTTCTCCTTATTTATATCTAATTCTCACAAACGGCCGTTGGAAATTACGGAAGAAACGCGTCTCTCGTTTGACGTCGAGGTACCTCGCGCGAAATGTCTTCGTGCGTCTTTCCGCTTCCTCTTCGGTATTTACGACAAAATCCGCGCGTACGCGACGCCTGTGTGAGAGAGCGAGAGAGAGAGAGAGAAAGAGAGAGCGAGAGAGAGAGAAGGAGAGAAAGAGACACGAGGTCACGTCGATACGCAGTTATAGGCCCGACTCGCGCTGATAACGCACGAATCATCCTGTGCGCACAATTTTCTTCCTCCTCAGTTCCTCGGGTTTACGCGCGAGCATAACTTCAGTTAGCAGCCGAAGCGTCCGCAGGCAACTCACCGCGGCCTATTATCCCGCGATTGAGGTATCTAATTGCATCAATTGTGCAACAAATGGAATTAGGCTGCTACAAATGGTCAATATCGCTGGCAGGGGTCAATCGTCTGCCGGCGTGCATGCGACTTCAAAGCTCGCGTCGTCGCACGCGTGAGACACGCTTCACGCCATTGATCGCTCGCGACTTGAGGATGAAAGAAAATATCTCGCATTAGGATATTCTCGGAGCTTCAAGTGCGAACCGTGCGAATGTTCATTACAATGACGATCGTCGAAAGCGAAAGTTAAAAGCGACCTCCCGCGCGTTCGACCTCTGCCGCGCCAATCTGCTCTTTAAGGAGAGAATTATACACTGGGAAAAAAAATTTAGTATCTCTGACGAAACTGTTTAGTTGGGGCATTTTTTGATAGCAATCAAATATCTTGTTTTATACAACAAAATATTGAGTTGTCTCAACTAAATATATTTTTCTGCTTTGTTCTCTGGACCAGATGACTTTGTTCTTAGACTTCATATATAAAAATTAAGCATTTTGGTTATTTTATCCGTAAGAATTACATAATAACGAAATATTATTTTACATTAAGTAAAATAGTGCCCAATGGATACTATTCGCCTTTCTGTGCGTTAAAATTTAGATTTTATATATTAAGAAAAAATTATAGTATTTTTAAGAAAATTCATATAGTTGAAGCTTTCTTTGGTTGCTATAACAAAAGTATTACGTTGTACGAACAAACCGTAATCAAACAAGATATTTGTTTACAGGAACTAAACAGTTTTGTTTAGGGCATATTGTAACCAAATTATTTTGTTGTTGCAACCAAATTTTGGTTCACGCAAAAATACACTTTTCCTAGTGCATGCGGAGCAGACCGCTCTCAAAACTATTTTTACGAATATTTTTCAACAGAGAACGGTAGGATCAATGGACTTGAAATTTTCACAGTTTATTCATTAATGTCCAGAATATAAAATAAATTTGTTACTATCCATGTGGAAAGTACATATAAAACTTTAAACGCGTTTAACCGGAAACACCATTTTCTTAAACTGTCGACGTGATTACGTAGAAACTACTGAACCGAATAACTTTAAATTTTTACATAATATACTGTAGACATGTAGTTTTCGCCTCTACCTCAAACACAGTTATATTTTATTTTATTCACTTCTTTTGAACATGATTATAAGTTGAAAAAAGTTTCATTCTCGATACTTTTTTTTTATATACTCGTTATTTCTCCAAAATAGGCTTCACTGCCTTCATTTTGGTACAGGCTATAGTGGCAACCGTATATTTAAAAAATCTCTCTCAGTTTTTGTTTCAAGTTTCAGAGTAGTGAGAGAGGCCCGAAATTATTCCGACAGCAAACACGGAGCTCGCAAACGGATGACTGCATTTTTATCTACAACTGCAAATTGGATCGATTCTTGTGACTCAATAAAATTTGTTTTATATCTTGAACATTAACGAAGACACTGTGCAAATTTCAAGTCCATTGATCTTACCGTTTTTATTAAAAAAATTCGTAAAAGTAACCTTGAGAACAGCCTTCCGCATGTAATTTCCCCCTTAATAATACTTCAAAACAAAATATTGCCGCAACGATGATTACCAAGAGGTCGCCTCTTCAAACGCTTCTCTCGCTATCGGAAAATATTTGAAAAGACGCGATGATTATATATGAACATTCTTCTTAATGCCTGCCTCTAAACTCGAAATTCACTCGATATTTGCTTTTCATTTTACGTCTCGAGCGGCGCTCTCGTACTCGATTGTATCCGTCCAACGAGATCGCTCAATCAAGCGCGACTCTCTAATTACTCGAAGCATAGTGTGCATGTATGTGTAAGCGTCGTTAGATTTTGGTTGAAGTTCGTTAAGTACGGGTCGCGAATACGAAAAACTGTCTCGTTTCTTCGCCAACGCGGCGCGCAGACGATTTTTGCAGCTTCGTGCTCCGACAAAAACCCAGCTGCGACTAAAATAGCGTATAAAATACGCTCGCCTATTAATCTGTATATATGCACGCGGTCATGTTGCGCGCGAAACGCCGATCTCCGTCCGGACACTTCGGGCGAGGGGGGGAGGGAGGGGGGATCGCCGGCGCGGCGGATCTATCGCGGGGAATCTATTCACCTGTTATGCGTTAGCGCGACATAAATGTCGCGGAAATGACGTAAGGCGGTAATCCCGCACGTCCGTGTCTCGATTCCACGGGATAAATCCTGGCCTGGCCTTTAGCGCCACGAGAGCGTACGAAACTCTTCACGTGGCGTATATGCGACGTGGCGCATATGCGTCGTTCGCAAAGACCGTATATATCCGTGCGATTTACATAGAATTTCTTACCGCAGCTACGTGACGCAGTAAAGCCGACTGAGTGCCGAGGAGCAGAAGATTAGAGAGAAATATTAGCGGCACCGCCGGGTTTACATATTCGTTAAAGCCGCATATATTATCAGGAAGGAGAAATGATGACTCGCGAGTCCTGTCTCAAACATGACATTCGACTCTGACCGTTGAATCCTCCTTCGCTGACGCGCCTTTTCCGCGAGAGAAAGAGATAGAGAGGGGGAGAGATTTGTAGAATATATTTACTCTTCATCCCGTGAATCGTCAATATTCGCGAAATATATCTTCTCTTGATCATCGCCGGACAGATCGGAGACGACCTTCTCGGTGGAAACGCGAACGACGAACGTTCTTTAGCGTCGAGAACGAACCAGAGCGCCGTGCGAATATATCCTGCGCGCGCGGATGCAGGCGACAGAAACGCAGGAGAACCTCTGGTTATTTTTTCCCCGCGAAACGCTTGTCGCGACATACAAACGCGTGGGGTTTGCCTCTCTGTTTGTCTGTTTAACAATTAATAAAACTCACGAAATGCTCTGGACTCGTTCCGCTCACACACGCACACACACACACACACACACACACACACACACACGCACGCCTGCCGAGTTCCGCCGAAACTCCGGTAATCAATTACACGCGCATATTAAGACCGCGTTGTAGATTATGCTAAGCGATCATTACGCGAAGTCGTAACGCCGCGCGCGGTGTTACGTTATCGCTAAAGTCCTCTGGAGGGATCTGGTCGGCGGCTTTCATTATAACGGTAAACCAGTAAAATTTTATGCCGCTTTCCTCGACGGAGCCCTCGCCCTCGCGCGGCGACGGCAGCCGATATCCGCGGGCCCGGAATACGAAGCCGCTTATAGGCGATAGGCAAATGGAGCTTATAATAAAATCGCTCCGATAAATATTAATGATCGCTAGCGTCGCGCGCCGGGTGCTGTTAGTTAGTTAGTTAGTTAGTTAGTTA